CAGGCATTCAAACCATCTTTCGCATCTCTCGCTCTGACGCTTGAAGGTCGCCATATCCATCCCGAAATCCAATCGGCTTCTCCCATTCCGACGCCGTTTTTATCCCCCTCCCTCCCTCCCCTCGCCACATCCTCCTCCGCTGTCCGCGGGCGAGGCCAGTGGACACCACGGACCGTGGCGCCCGCGGTCGGACACATGTCCGCGACGGCGGCTGACGGCTGGCGGCGGGCAGCACTACTGGCCGCCCGTTTATCGCTGTCGAGCCGCGTAGGCCGGGCCGGGTCCAGATCGGGCCCGGCCGGCCGCTGCCATCTTGATGAGACGGGTCTGGCGTGCGCTCGGTCAGAACGCGAGCGATGGACCGCCTCTGCGCCAGATCGCATCGCTGCCGACAGCGGCCGGTTACGGCCGTTTTTCCGCGGTTCTGCGGAGCTTCGCGACGTCGAAATCGTGCCAGTCGTCCGGTTTTTCGGCTAGGGTCAGGCGAAAGTCAGGCGATACAGATCGGGTACGGGGTACCAGGAAGGGTGCTGCTGATGTCGCGTATATGATCCGTCATCACGCACCTTTTTATTGGGAGTTTTATGGTTAAGTGTTTTTTTTTTTAGGGAGCTCGAGTTGGCCATGCCGTAGGTCATCTTGTGGACGACGCCCGGCGCACTGGTGATGGGTTTAAGTCATCACAGGAGTGCACTGTATCAGGAACAGCTGGCCTCTAAAGCGGGGGCAGATTCAAAGCCGCGGATGCTGCGAGCTGGCACGAAAAGTCTGTAGTCCCGGTCGAGCTTTCTCCGTCACGTCTCTGGCTTCCAGACTTGAGATAACGGCCGCCGTCTAAAAACAGATGCGCAGGACCATTTGCACCTCACATGTCGTTTCAGGTTCAGCGTCGCTGCCGCCCCGAAGGTAAGTGGTGTATGCCCTCCTGGTACGGACCAATAATTCGAGTCGAGTTATCACCAGTCTGCCAAAATGTATCCATGTGGCAGGACATTTCGATCACTGTGGGAAATAAGATCCTGCTGCGAATGTCGCAAACAGTTGAAATGCAGTGCTGTCCTTCTGTTGGGCTTTTTCAAGGTAATTTCCTTGCAAATAGAGTGTTCATGGAGTAGGTAATGAAGTAAATATATGGTGTGAACAAAAAACGGACCCAGTTTTACCCAACGTATCCAATGACTACATGAAGTAAGCACTTGCTGTTGTCAAGGCATGCGGACGTATACCTGGGTAGTGAATGCGGTATGGTAGATCTTGCAGAGGTCACACCAGCTTCCATCGAAATTAACCTAACTTGATCAATTCGTCAAAATTTCATCATCCCATTGAAGTATGTTGCATCAAATGGTTTCGTCACGCCAACTTGTATCGAGATTTTCCTCATGTGGTCGCATGTGGGTTTCAGGTAGGCACACCGGTTAATGTAACGTAAGTCTGAAATTGCAAGCTTATTCATTGTTGGCAAGGCTCAAAGCACTTTTTAGGTACGACCAATCAAATATGTCGGGTTCTTACGCAAGCTTTCTGTTGCGAAGCTCCCCTGACTGGAAGTGGCTGTTTCGGATAGTCCGTGTAGGGCGAGATTAGTTGCATTTTGTTGTCCGAAATGACGCAGTTAGGCATGGCGAGCAGCGATGCTTTTTAAAGCTGTGCGGTTTGATTAGAACATGCTCTAAATCACTGTTAAATTCTGTTTAACGTTTGCAATATCTGAAGAGTATAGACGCCGCAAGGTTTTGCTAAACTGCTTAAAGGTATGTTGCAGCAGTGTGTTACTTCTTTAAATGCCAGTTGAGTATCGTCTCTTTCCTTTATGATACTAGTTCGCTAGCATCGTGGTAAACAATCTGACCAATTAGTACCTAACTACGTTGAATATCATAGCTGTTGACCGCAGCTTTTCTTTGTTCTTTTGCTACGATATCAGTTTGTCCCCTCTGGATCAACAGCGCGCCATGCAATTTTTCGCTTTCGCGAGGAGCCGGTGGTACGAACTTTCCAGGTCAACATAGACTTTCCCGGCTCCAATTAAGCGCATCTCCGGCGGTGCCTACAGGCGTGTGAAACCCAGCAAGGTTCACCGGCGAAATGGGTCACAAACAAGACATTGAAACGCGTGGTGCGATTCACCCCCCCGGTGAAATGTGTTGTTGTTCACCACGGTAGTAGTTAATTAGCACAGTCCGGAAGTCATCTGGCTATTGTCGCTGACAACTGTTCCCAGGACGAACATAATGGCTGAAGTCCTGCCCTGTCTGTCACAGGAATGATGCCACGCGTGAGTTGTTTGGCACCCACCGCTCCCCCGCATGATTTGGTGTGTGCTGCTTTGATGTGCGATGATGCTCCTACAACGATATCCGATGACGCTCCATGTTAGGATAATGCTCCTCTCCGCGAGACGGGACGCGTTCAGCTCGCGCGACAGCGAAGGCGTCGTCTGCAAATCGATTGACCGAGAAGTGGGCTCAGGCGAGCGTCACACACACAGAGCACAATGACGTCTCACTTGCGCGAAGCAGGTCACCCGTGGTACATCTCGGACACCGCTGGGCCGGTTCCGAGGGTCCTCGGCGGCGCGCCTGGCCGTGGCGGGCGAGCCCCCGATACAGTTGGCTGGCACTGAATGCGAGGTCCCTCGGCAGGCGCGGCCGGCCGGCCATTCGCCTCTTCCGACCACGTCCCCGTCGGCGGGCCAGCGCTGCTGCCGGGAGCGTCACCCGCGCCACAATCTGTGGCTTGTCGTGACGGCGACGCGTGGCCCGGGAATCTGTGCCGTATCACTGGCATTGGCGGCCGTGACTGGCGCTATTGGTCTGAGGCCCGGTCAAATGACCCAGAGGCTGACTGAAGAAAACCTGCGCATTCCAACGACTTCCGTACTATAATGGTATAAATGACATGTAATGCTGACGTTAAATCGTTTGAGCGTTCATTAGCCCGTAGAGCTTTCAGCTCTGGTATTTACGAAGTTTCGCTTGCTCGGATCCTACCTTTTGCCAGGAACAGGCTCTGATGTGTATTCCTCGCCCGAGCATCTGAGAAATAGTCTTCAAGCTGCTCCGATCTTTCTCTGGCCAGCCGTATTTTGAAATCGTTATCTGACGCTCCTGCCGGCAGCCGCCACTCCTTCTTTCGCCTTTGTTTGACTGCTGTCGGCGGTACCTCAACATTCATCAGGCGTGGTTGTCTGCTGGCCACGGCGGCCAGTCCCTCGCCGGCTCTTTGTCAACGTCCCGGGCGCGGACCGTTTTTTGCCGCGGTGGGCAGTGACGTTGCCAGACGGAGTAGACCTCCCGGGCCGATCTGGCCCCAGGCTGGCGCCGGTCGCGCTGGGCTGTTGCTTCCTGCTCTGGGGACGGTGCCGGGAGTCGTGGGAATGGCGATGACACTAGCGGTGATCATATCTGCCCCGCCGCTGAAAGTGGGGTGGCGGTAGGTCGCGGGCGGTGTTGCCACTGCTCGGTTCACACGCCCGCAGCGAGAAAGAAGCAACGGCTCGGCGTCTATTCTTCGCAACGTGCCCTTCCTGCGATTGTGAATAGAGTCGGTACTGCGGTCAAAAAGCCGCCCACTCTGCCATTAGCTGGTTTTTCCTTTCATCGGTGTCACGCCAGACGGCCGCGGGCCGTGGAGAGAGACCGGACAAGCCCGAGTTAATAACGCGGCGTGCAGTCGGTGGCGACGCAAAAGTGCCGCCGCGTGCAGCGTCGCCCCGTCGTGCCGGCGTTCTGCGCCGCTCTGCGCGTTCGTGCCAGTCCGCCATGGCCGGCTGGCCGCTGTGCCAAGGTCCGTGTCAGGCGGACACCCGTGCGGGCCATGTCTCCGGCCGCGGTGCGCTCCGCCCGCGCTGGCGGGCGCGGTCCTGCCGGGCGCTGTCCCGAATTTTCCGTTGGCTGGCCAGGTGACGGATCGTCACCCTTTCGGAGCACGGTCGGCTTAATGGGCCCGCCCGCCGACAATGTCCGCCTGATGACGGTTTAACGCCGCTAAAGGATTCGGTGGGAGTCGCGTGTGCGCCGCGCGCGGACGAAGGGGTGGTCGGTGGAGCCTGATTACCCCGCGTCCGGGGCAGAGCGGGGAGTCGCAGGGAGAGGGCGCGGGGGGATGAGGGGCGTCAGGTGGCCGCTGCACCAGGCCAGGCCATTATCGGCGGCTCGGTGTATCCTGCCGGCTCAGCCGGCGGCGCTGATGGCTTCGGGAGGAGCCGGCCGCGGCGGCCGCGCGGGGCGCCGCCACCTGTCACGCCGGCTGCGCGCCGCCGCCGCCGTCTAAATTGATGGCGACGCGCTGGCGGACCCCGCCGCGCCGTGATGGCCCCAGATGTCCCCGGTTGCCGCCCCCCCCCCCCCCCCCCGCCACCAACTGGACCGTGATGGTGCCGCTCTGTGTCGAGCTCGGGTCACCGCGGCTGGGTCGGCCCGGCACGGGATCCTGAGTGTTATTGGACTGGACAGGCTGGCGATGCTCGATGCGCTGGAGCGTTTGTGGACGCCTCGTGTAACGGGGCATTTCCGAGGAAGATGCGCTCGTGCCGTAAATCGGCCCGCCTTCGGCCAATGTGGTGGCGCGGCTGCGCCAGCTGGCTTCCGGCTTCCGATGCTTCCTCTCTTTTCCATCGGCATCCTGGAGTAATTGCCCAGTCTTCCTGTACGGGGCCACTAATTTCTCGGCGTTTAAACGCCGCGGGCGTTTGAGCCTTCACCTGTTTCCGGACGAGTGCTGGGAACGAGTGCACCGACGCGTCCAATTGCACCGATCGGAACTGGCCACGTATGGCAGCCAATCGATGCATGCATATCGCTAATCCGTTGTGGGCTCCTGGTGCGTGCTAGCGCTGTTTGCCTTCGATATTTGGCGCGATCTAGACCGCCCCCAATGCGCGTCACGCCCCGGCACGGCGCGACGGCGCCCGTTAGTTCCGACCGGCTCCGCCAGGCGGAGGCTGGCGCTGGCGTCGCCGGATGCCGTCCCCCGTTTAAATACCGGCGCCGCGGGACCGGCCTGCTTCATACTGGCCGGCGTCTCGTCGGTGGCGCGTCAGGGATAGAGCGGAGAGTAACAGTGCTGCAGTTTGGTCTCGGCAGATCGGCTTCACCACGGCAGCTATGGGTCACGCCTACTACGAGTTCCAGCATGTCGAGCTCGCCAACGTCGGCAGCGGAAAGAAGAGGTAAGCAAGCGGCCGTAGTCCTCTGTGCTGACATGTTCGAAATGTACATTTGTTGGGCATTGCCGTCCAGACCTGTGATTATCTCTCGACTTTAACGGGGCCGGCTCTGGCACCAGTCCAAATTCTGCTGGTTCAGGGCTTAGTTGTTTCCACTGAATTATTTTCTAGCCCACGTCGAAGTTATTAAACAATGTCACACAGATTCAGTTTGGATAAACTTGAATTACGAAGTTGTTAAGTGCATTTGCGAGGAAAATAATGCGTACAGACAAGGCAATACTTATCGCCTTATTCCTCCTAGATTAACCAGAATGAGTGGAGAGATAGGTGGGTTGGTATTTCGGCCACATGGCTTTTTCAGACGGATACCAGTAGTGAATTCAATTACGGGGAGAGGGGAATTCCTGCAGCTGGGAATTACTTACTGTACTGTAGGGGGGCATCACTACTGATATTCGTTTGGATAAAAGCATGTAGCCGAACATCAATCCATGCAGCTCTCCATTCTTCCGGCTTTTCTACGAGGAATGATTTATTAGTATTGTCTTACCTATGAGCTTTAATTACAATGCATCTGGATACAGACGATATACTCACGCACACACACAACCCCCTCCCCCCACACACACATATATATATATATATATATATATATATATATATATATATATATATATATATATATATATGTATGTGTATATACATATATACACATGTATATGTTGATCAGTATTCTAGCAGCGTGCAAGATCTTTGAGAAAAAATAATCAAAATTCTGACTTTATTTACACCTCATTAAGATTTGTCATGGTTCATGCGTAATGTTTCCGAGAGTGTATACATTTTCTTCACATTCATACACAGAGCTCCAGAACATCGCACAACAAAACAATGTTGTGGTGCACATGATATAAAAACGTTGTTCTAGCTTTTACCCAACGTAAAAAACTTCTGTTTGCTTACCCGTTGGGCCCAGCGCACCAGTCCAATCAGTGTGAATTTGTTTTGACTTCCGTGTTTTAAATTTGTTTGTTGACGGTCATGCTGCATGTGATGGAAACGTACACTGCATTCACAACACGCTGACTTGAACCATTCTTCAGTCACGAACCTTGTTTCATTATCATGTTGATATCAATCATCATGTCGATATCATTCATCATGAATAAATTTATCTTACTGTTTGATTCAGAGTCAGATTCAAAATCAGCCACGCCAATTTCTTTGAATTAGCCGCTGATTCGAGCTGTTGTCGAAAGTTCGGTCCGACTCGCAATTAATAGTCCAATTTTTTAGCCAAAATGTTTGTATTTTATAAGAAATTAAATTAAACGCAAGTTAGTATTATGGCTGAAATTGGTACAACGCGCTGATTTGTCAGAGTCAGGACCCATTTCATTTATTTATAGACAGTCCGTAAGGTATGAAGTCGTCTCCGACCTCCGGCTGGAACCAGAATGGGTATCGACTCTGCCCACTGCGGTGCAGATTTTGAGTCGATTCTGCTCATCTGGAGTCTAGCACGAGTCAGCTGATGACATGCCTCAGAGATTGCGCATCTGTTCGAAGATTAGGTGTTTACTTCTGTGATTCATGTAGCCGACAGTTGGGTACTCGACTGGACTCGTTTGCCGTCGTTCGGATCAGTGGTGTAGCTGGTTAAACGCTTGCTTGATGTTTATGAGTCTGGACAAGATACATAAGGCCCAAGTCGACGTACGCATTGGAATATGGCTAATGTTCAGGAAACCTAGAATCCCGTCGAAGCTTTCCTGACACCAATGTCTTAAAAAAGGAAATAAGTCGGAGTACATGCCATATTTGCCGTAGTTTGACTCATGTAGCTGATGCGCCCTTAAAGCTCTATAATGATAACGGCATATGGCAAACGTCACGGGTGAGCACGGGTACCCCATCCAGTGTCGCAAAGCTTATGTCTTCGCAAGAACTCTTTGATATACTGTTTGTGGGAAATATGATGAACTGGGAGCAGTGAAAAGCAAGCGATCCTATGTTATCACTCGACGATAATGTTATCACGACAATGTCTAGTTAGCAATTACGATAGGGATGACGATAGTGCTATAAAACTGAAAACAGACGATAGGTTAGAAGATATATTCCGGGCTTTGGTGGGTCTTAAGTGCAGAAAAGCGCCGGAACATGATACATTTAATGACATAGTGAACCTAAAAGATTTTTATAACGCTCGTTGCGATTGGCAATACTCATTAAAGTGTTGAACTTCCTAATCTTAGATAGTTTTATTTTATTCGGCGCAGCTTACCTGACATGGAACAATATGTTGACATGACAATTGCCTCTGCAAACCGGAAAAAAACTTTTGTTCCAGCAGGTACTGCTGGTTGTGACAGAATGATGAACTTTATAGTAACTAGAGGCCCCTTAGATGTTCACTTCCATTGATTTCATTAAAAAATTGTCATGCCGTTTCCACATCGACAAATGCTGATATCTCACCTCAAAACGCATATTAATTTGCTAGCAGTTGCTGCAAGGATACAATGATTAAAATAGAGCATTCATTGTCAGATGCATGAAACATTGTCCATGAACTTGAAACTAATTGCGACTGTAATACGTTGATTAGTTTCATCATTCGCTCTACGTCAAGTGAAATGAATGGTCAGATTCCCATCAAAGTAGTCCGTTAGTGAGACTAAAGCGGCGCTAATGCCAATCTGTGTTATTTTGCCGTCAAGTCCCTGCTTTTTCCAAGAAAAATGAAATTTGATCGGCCTCAGGTCGGGACAAATGGCTGCCATGAGCGATGACTTCTGGACGTCGAACCGAGCCCGATGTCGTTGACGCAGGCTTGGCATCGACGTCAACGACACTTCACTGCCGAGGAGCGCGCTTTTTGCCATCTTCTCGTTCTGCTTGGCTGATACAGCCGTGGGAACGACGGTCAATTTGTCGGTGTTGTCTTTTTGTGGGCCGGCGCCTTTTGAGTTTACTCAGCGGAGCGGCGTGTCTGCCATGCACGGGCCCGCGCGTGCCGCTCGGCTGCCGCGCTGCCCGCCGCGCGGCACGAGTTGACGTGCGGTCGTGCTGGCTGCACTCGACACTGCACGCGGCGGGGATTGAACCCCGCTTCCGGTGACACCGCGGAGCACGGCGCCGGGTCGTCGCCGGGATTACATCGGCCGTGGCGTGCTGCACAGGCGGCGCTTTTGAGGCGACTGGACCGGCCAAAGCCTTCTTAGATCCGAATGGAAGGGTTCGTGAAAATTTGTTCCTTTGAGCAGCCATATTTCAGTCACTCTTATCATTTGGTCAAATGGATTTCACGCACGAGAAAACGCGCGTTTCCTTTCCTCAAGCACTTAACTTTTCGTGATGAGGGATCAGTCACAGAACGTTGGTCACGTTGGTGGCAAATCCGTGCTTGTCCTTTCAGCTGCTGCGGAGCAGTTTCACAAAGATATTTTCACCTCTTAAACAGGTCACAGCATAAGATCGCTGCACACGGGAAACAATGCTTGAAGTGTCTGCGGCAGTTTGACGCCCGTTACTGTAATCTCGCGCCATTGTGATCGGCATTTTATTGTGGCACAATTCTTTCGAATTAAACAGCTCTTGGCCAGTTCCCCTATTGAAACTAACCGAAGCACCCTCGATAAATGTAGAGCAGGCGTCAACGCGGGCATACGCCCAGGAACCGCACCTAAGCACGTGTTACAGTCAGTCGGGCAGAGAGGGGAGGGGTGACAGCCGCACCGCCATGGCGGCGACGGCGGGCGTCCTTTGTGTCGCGCGCGGCAGTGTCGGTGAGAGCAGACGGCGAGCCGATCGATCTAGTGAGCCCCTGATGGCGGCCTCGGCCCCTCGCCGCCCTCTAATTACACGGCTCCCCCGGCCCGGGGAAGGGTTCGGCCCTCGCCGTCTGCGGCCGCCGACCCGCCAGGCTCAGGCGAGCCGGGTGGTCCGGCACAATGGACGTATTGATGGACCCGGGGCCTGAGCTGGTGCAGCGTTCCTGGGAGATGGGGGACACTTGACGAGGGAAGTGAGAGATAGCTCGACGTCCGCGAGCGCGTGGAGTAATGAGCGGAGCGCCGTCAGTGGCTCGATCCGTGGTCCTTGTAATTTCGTGCCATTGTTGTTCAAATCGCGGGCTTCTTTTACCTCACTCATATTCTACGACGTCGCTTTGAACAATGCCAGGCAACCAATACACTTATAAGGTCACCGCTGAACGTTCGGCCCGTAACCAAGCGTTGTTATTTCTTTCCTCTGACATATTTTGCGTCGCAAGTTAGGTCGTAGCTTTGCTCTGATGGATGGCGCAGATTACGCCGTCATTGTGTGTCGGCCTGCGTGCGATGTTGGGCTGATAATCGCGGCGCAGTCTGTCGCCGGCCTGACCACTGACTGACTCCCTGTCGATGTGATTGATTTCCCGCCGGTGAGTCACACAGCCAGCGCGGGCACAAACAAACGGCGCCGGGTAAACACGGCTCGGGATGGAGCCGGGCCGACGTGCCGCGCATTGCAGCTCTCCAGCGACCGTGCAGTGAGGCGTCTGCCGTCGGAGCGTGTCCGTCGCCTGACAGGACACCACGGGAGTCGCGTGCGGAATAGGTCACGCGGACAGTGGAAGGCGGCCGCGGCTTTTGGGCATCGCTGGCGCTGTAACGCCGCTCAGCATGCACCAGCGGACCCGTAGCGGTCTCCAAAGACGGCCAGACGTCTGCTGGCACCATGACTCACACCCGGCCAAACTGCTGCCGCCCCTCCGAGGCCGTGATTCACGCCGCGGCCCTCTGGGGGACGGCTGGCGGCCGGACGGGGACGCTGAGACACGCTGGTCGCCGGCGGTCCGGCGGCGTCTGAGCGGCGGCGGCGCGGGTTTCCCGGCAGCCGCGCGTGACGGCGGGGGAGCGAGGGACAGGTGGTGCTGATGTCCCGAGGATGACCGACCGCGCGCAGCCGACCGCGCTCCCTTCCCGCCGCCGCCGCCGTAATGACTTGGCCCAGGGAACCACGTCCGTCCGGCGGCCGGCCCCCGGACGGACGCCGAGGGGACCACCGCCTCATTTCAGGCTCCGAGGGACAGCGAACGGCGCTAGGTCGTTGGCCGTCTCTGCGCCGCTCTGTTTCGGCCGGCTCGTCCTCTCTCGGCCGGGAGGTGGGCCGGCGAGGCGCCGCTCTAGCTGCTCACGGCAGCCCATGCGCGGCACGCGGCGCCAGGCGTCGCCCGTCTCGGCCGTGGCCGATCGGGGCCGTTTTTCGGGGCTGCTCCACCCCAGTGGTATGCGGCGGGCCGCGCCGGCGGCGAGGTCGCCTTTTACGGCCTGCCGTCGCCGCGTCGATGACGCGGAGCCGGCGTCCGCGCTCAGCCAGTCATCTGTCCCGGCGCCGGCGCCGGAGCCGGTCGCCGCTTCTCGCGACCCCGTGCGTCGCGGGCCGCCGGAGCGGGGCGGAGCCGTTCCGGGTCACAGGGGACGCTCCGACCCGTCCGGCCACGGCCGCCGTGACGCCGTCGCCGGAGCGGAGGAGCGGAGCCGTGCCGGCCGAGCGCGCCGACGCGCCGCCGTGAGCGGCCGGCCGTGTCGGAGCGGCGCCTCCCGCCGCCCGATCCCGCCGACAGGCGGCCAATCTCGCGCCCGGATCGGCCGCGATGTGGCTGCGCCGCCAGACTTGACGCGCCCCGTTAGCCACGCCACGCGGAAGCTGCCGTACGCGTGGATCTGTATCGGCGACTCCGGGCAAGCTCCGCTGGGCCAGGTTGTCTCGCGCGGTCGACAACGGCGCGGCGCGACGAATCGGTTCGGTGCGGGTCAGTGGCTCAGCTGCCAGGTCATGTCACTGCTATGGTTTTGCTGCGAGGTCGCGTGTTGTGAGTCTGCGTGGCAACCGCTCACGACGCGAGCGGTCGGCGTACCGGCACGGGCGGCCGCTGTCACACGGCGGCAGCCGGGGAGGGAGACCCGTCTGTCGGCGTGGCTGACGGCACCGGCAGGTGTTGCATGTCGTCCGGCCGACATACCTGGGGCTTCGCCACCTGGCTGCCTCGGAGCCGGTGGCCCAGCCGGCCCCCTCCCCGCCCCTCTCCCGCCACAGCCGGCTTCCTCCAGCCCGCGCTCTTCCCGCGGCCGGCGCGCAGTCGCAGACGCCGCGTGAATCGGAGCACGAAATCGAAATGTGCGCCATCACCGGCTGTTTGTGCGGCGGCGCGGCTGACGGCGTCGTCAGCGAGCCATGACTCTCGTCATGACTCGAGACGCCGCCGGCCCCGCCCGCTACTGTTCGCCGCGCGCGCACGCGGCCGAAAACAAAGCGTCGCAAGCGGGCCGCGTCGGCGGCCGCGACCGCACCTGGGCCGATTACCGGCCCGGCCCTGCCCCGTCCCTTCCGGTGACCCGCGCCGCAATTGTCACTGCGCCGGCAGTATTGTGCTGCCAGCTGGGTCGGCGATTTTCTCATCACGGACCGCGCGTCCCCTCAATCGCCCCCGGGCGTAATGGCGGACAATGGCAGACGGGGCAATCGCGAGCAACCCTTTTCGCCGTGGAGGTCTAATTGGTGTTATTTGGCGCGACGATTGTAGGGGCTCGGTCGCTGGTTCGGAGAATTGGCTACATCTGTGCAGCAGTGGACGCTGGTGCTGTTTGCTGTGATGGCTTGGTCACGGGGCTCGAACGGATGAACGCAATCAGTCTCTGGACATTGTGGGTGCTCAAATAAATGGGAAACGTGCTTGTTGCGTTTCTTCTCTCTCTCACAATGAGCATTGCAGCCGCCATCCCATGGCAGTTAAGGTTCATTTTTTAACCACAGCTCTAAATTGGCACTGCTTCAATCGGCACGCAAGTCATTGTACTCCGGCAGGGATTCAGGTCGATATGACTGTGATTAGGTTTCCAGTTTCAATTCGTGAGATGCAAAAACGCCGGGTCCAGTGAGATGGCTCCATTGTATGGCTGAACGTGTCATTGTAGTTCACGGGATCTAGTCGAGCAACTTTTACATTCGCACGAACATGTACTAGATCAGACTCGACTACAGGCTGAGAACAAATAAGAGAAACCCATGACGATCATGTACTTGATCAGCAGACCGAAATTAACACGGACCAAAACGAAACGGAATGTGTTCCTTATGAAAGCCCAACCGGACTGGGGATGATACTCCATATCCCACTGACCTTACAATGCACATCCCACTGACCTTACAATGCACATCCCACTGACCTTACGCTGCACATCCCACTGACGTTACGCTGGCCTGTAGCGTCACCATCACTTCACCGTTTCGTTTTCAGGAAGCCTTACCTCGGGCTGAGTGATTTGTTGACTGCCGAGCCCCACGCCGTCTCTAACTCCCAGAGCCAGCCCAGGCAAGCGTGCCAGGACCGTGCTGCTGGCTCGTGCGACCCCGCCTCGCAGCCCGCTACCCCGCAGGGACTCTGGTCCTGGCTCCTCGCTCCGCGCGCCGGAGCCCCGCCACGTGGGGCCCGGGGTCGTGCGTGCGACCAGTAGCCGGGACCGGCCTCCGCGCCTTCCCAGCCGCCTCGTATGCCAGGCACCTAGTCTTGGCTCCTCGCTCCGCGCGCCGGAGCCCCGCCACGTGGCGCCCGGGGTCGTGCGTGCGACCAGTAGCCGGGACTGGCCTCCGCGCCATCCCAGCCGCCTCGTATGTCAGGCACCTAGTCCTGGCTCCTCGCTCCTCGCGCCGGAGCCCGCCACGTGGCGCCCGGGGTCGCTGCGTGCGACCAGTAGCCGGGACTGGTCTCCGCGCCATCCCAGCCGCCTCGTATGCCAGGCGCAGCGATGCCGTTTTTCAGCTGCCGGCGGTGACTCGTGCTTGACCAACGCGCCCTTTCAGTTAGCGTCACTTGTCTGGCTGCGCTAGTGTGCCCGCATACTGAGCTTGCACTTTCGCGGTGGCTTCATGGCTTCTGACGCGGCTGTTATGCTCGGTAGAAACTTGACTACGTAGCTCGAATTTCGGTCCCGGATATTGGATCGCCATGGTCTGTAACTCTGTGTCTCTTGATGACACAAAGGAACGAAAGAACCAGCGCGATCCTAATTCAGTTTGCACATGGAGTATTACGCGGCGCGCATTCCACACATGCCGACTCATTCTTTACCATCACAACAGACGGTCGCCAGCCGGTGAAAGCACAGTGTAAGGAGGAAATCCGAGTTTCTCTTTTGCTTTTTGTTGTTGCCTGACTTACGCGCATCGCTATAGCTGTCACATTGAGGAAGCACAACTCGGTAGCTTTTTAAACACAATAAATGCTCTTGGGTTGAAACATTAGCCGACATCGCTCTAAAACTGGCATTCGGCGCGATTCAACGTACGGTCGGGCTGATGCTAACGGGATCGATCTGGGGGCAGCACAAGTGGTGCGTGACACCTGAGCAAGCAATGAGACCGCGATCTCATTTGGAAAGGAATGCCTCCGATCTAATCTACCCTACGAAATATCGCCAGTCATGGGCCACACGGGGCGATCTCATGCTCCCCACGGCATCCGAATGCACGCCAAATCACCTGGTGCCCTCCCCTCTGCTCGCCGCTGACCGCTCGTGCTGGCCGGCAGGGTGAGGCAGCCGCCGGGCGGCGCCGCGAGCAACATCTTTGGGCCGCCCGAGGAGGAGACCACGCCCAGCCGCCCCGGCCGCGCCAGCAAGATGGCTTCCAGCATCCCGTTCGGCGACACGGTGGACTCGCCGCCCTCTAGCAACGGCTCCAGCCCGCCGCCCACGCCGGTCAAGACAGGTGAGGGTGATGGCCGGCCGGTCTGTGCGGCCGGCTCATCCTGCCGGAGCAGGCTGTGCGACGCGCCAGACGTCCGGCTTCCATTCTGGTGGAGCAGGCCGGCATATATGAATGTTCTGGTGCGATATTTGCACACTGCTATCCATGCACAACGGAATATGTCGATCTTTTCGACATACGTGTCGTATTTTATGCAGTGAATTTGACGTTTTGCCTTGCACGTGTCCGGCGTTGACCAATGTAATCGAGCCTCGGCATCTTGTTCTGCACTGATCGACAGTGGCATTTTGTCAGAGAGACAATGTTCGCTCCCGACACGTGTTTCAGCGCCTGCAATACCGCTCGATGCGGGTGATCACACTCATGCAAACCTGCCCGTCCTCGCCGCCACCCCAGCTCCTGTCCGCGTCGGTGGGTAGACTCCTGTCCCACTGCGCCACTCCGCCGCCCTTCCACTCTGTCCATTTTCTCAGGCTCCTTGAGGCGATCATCTGGCTTGGACACATGGTAATCGTGTCGGCAGTCATCATAAATTACTAGCTTGGCGTATTTATACGGCGGCAGTGTCTTTACGCTCAAAATACCACGCTTCCTGTGCACAGCCTGCAGGAGAGTTATCGAGTCTTGTAAACGTAGCGTTCGACCGGCGGTTATGAAAAAGCTGGTTCGCACCTAACTGACCATATCGTGTCCCGGTAGCTTCTCCGAACCCGGTCACTGGCCAGGGTTACGAGCCGGGCGAGGACAAGAAGACCACGCCGCTACCGTCCCAGCCGCGCCGGCGCGTGCCCCCCGGGGGCTTCTCGAGCCCGCTCTGGTGAGCGGCGACCCGACCGCCCCTGGTGGCCGAGCCCGGAAGCTCGGCTGCGGCCGCCGCGGCACACTCTCGACAGCCGGAACGATACGGCGCGAGGCTTGAGGAGCCTCTCACGTCAGCTAAATCGTGTCAATGCGTTTACTACATAATCCACATCGCACTCCTGCTATGACGACAGGGTGGTTTGGTATTGTAGCGATAAATTCGCGATAGTGATAAGTCGAACCGCCGAAATCTTCTTCGTGAAGATTTCACGGCAGGTTCCAAATATCTGCACCGTCATGTGAGTGGTGTGCGTGTTGCTATCATCATTATGATGTAATTCCCACCGTTTGGTCTCGTGGTAATTGACTTCATCCTGGTGGAAATCGGAGGTGTTTGTATCGAGTGTTTTATTAACTCTCCGTTCTTTTGTATAAATACATGATTTTATACAAGATGTTTCGATTACTGGCCTTCATCTGTGTCGAAAATATGGAAGGTAAGGTCGTTTTAAGCTTCCCTTGTTCGTGTAACCCTGTGATGTGGTCCTGGACTGGCTCTCCTTTTGAACGTAGAACGTGCTCAACTCTGCATGAGATCAGGGCTTTTCTCATTTAATACGGAGGTAACCACGCTGGCACGTTCAATCGTCATGGATATCACACACGGGTTCAGTCACTAAGTCGGGCAGTGAATACCTTTTCAATCGCTATGCCAGGCATGCGATCACTCTGGCAGGTACATACGTCTCACGTACCGATATTTTAGCACGAGTATATACGTGTTTAACACAGCAATAGCATATGCCAGATCGGAGCCAAGACCATACATTTTCGAGGAGACCAGCTATCAGGGCACGTGGCGCATATTCACACCCTTGCGTGCAAAATGCATCACCCTTTTATCTTTCTGTTAGCTGGCTACCGTATGCATAGCACTTGATGAGTAGGGCAAGCAAGCAGGCAAGCAGCAAGATAAGCTGTCTAGGCTGTGGGAGTAGTGCGCGAGGAGTGTTGGCTCACCTGCACTCTTAGCACACCCTTCGCGCGATACATTTATCGCTGTAAGCCTGGCCACGCATCGGACTTCGCACGTCACCGTCATCACCTGCAGCGATTTATGGGAGCTTTGGCTCGGATAAGCATTGACCTGATAGCGCTCGACTCCAGTAAGTCTGCTGTGAGAAGCTCTGCACCGTGATAAGTGCGGCCTGTAAGCTAAGCATGTATATCGGGAAGCATGTCACTCAATACAAAAGGCACGGGCGTCACGGCTATGGTGTTCTCTAGCACCAGTAGCCGTGGATAACGGCACGCAGTCTCGGACTCGTAAAATATGTCCCATTTTATTCTTATGTTTACATATTTGCTTAGCAGAATGTAATTTCCCCTATGAATAACGAAAGATGTCTATCTGCTTTACTACAGTGCATGCAAGCGCGTAGATTTCGAGGCTTTACCTGAACTGTAGGAAAACTGTCGGCGGGACGGGCCGCCCTAACAGCCAAACTCCTCTGCATTACAATCCCCTTTGTGGTATCTACGGATGGCAACTGCATGCAGACATATACACAACTCTTTGAAAGCTGTCCCACACCGTTTCCAAGTATATTACACGTGAGGTGTTTAACGGGGCTTGTCAGCATATTATTGCATTCCTATAAATGATATGCTCACATCGGTGATGATAATTGGGAAACACAGAGGTCGGAACTGTATCCCAGCTTCGGCAATCAGGGCACGCATTGGCAGGAGATAAACACAGTTTAGCTGTGCAAACGGCGAAGTCATCGCAGAACCTGCAAATACGCTTCATCGTTTGGCGCAGAATGTCATCACATTTGAGCGCCAGCCATGGCTTCAACAGTGTCGATGCCGTATGTTGTAATTAGGGTCATATATTTCGGTAGCCATCTGCATATTGATTAGGCGGCCGAGGCCTGTACGACCCACTGGCTGGACACCAGCTGACAGAAAAGCAGGACGTCTCGCCTTTTAAAGGGGTGGTATTGACTATAGCCTGTTACCCCTAACGCCAGCTAAGCTTCTTGAAGACACCACAGGCTCATAGCGCAATAAAGCTTGGTAAATATTCAGTCAGCATATTAGAATGCTTGCTATTGATATTTTCATAGTTACCGCAGGCGCAAATAATTGCATGTTCTTCATTAAATCAGCTAAAAATCCATATTTGTAGCCTGTTAATACTGAAGCAATGTTATTAGTGAGTGTGTATGTGCGTGCACGTGACGTGTGTGACGCTATATGCTTATTAAACTCTTATACGGGACGGATCTAGGCAGCAATAAGACTTAAGTATATGAGTTTCAAAGACGTTTGGTTCCTTTTTCAGATCTTGATGCCGTCTAACATACTCAAAACACAAAACAAACAACCCAAGTAATGCTCCAAATCAGGCGGGGTTTTACCACGGTCAGAGCAATGTAGGCAAACAAACGACTGGCACCGACATGGGACTGCATAGCATGAGATCGAGTTGTTCCATTATGTGCGATGCATACTGAACACGACTTGCGAAAATGCCAAATGCAGTCCAGGCATGCAACGCCCTCCGGCTGAGACGAGACGCTCCAGCTGGTAACGTTGCCTGTGTTAGTCGTGCAGGCTTGTGGGAGTGTGTTGCAGAAAAGTAGATTATTACTGCTGCTCTCGCGACTGATGGAACTAAGCATTTTAGCAAAAACTGAACACCACAAAACCAGTTCCCACGCTGTCGCTGTGTTGGTAGCAGACGGATGCAAGACTCCCCCTCCCCCCTCCCCCCCCCCACCAACATCTTCGACGTGGGTGTGTGGGCTTCCGTGCACGTGCGAGAAGTGTGTAAAGTGTGCCTTGGTGCATGGGCCGTGAGAGTGCCTCACGGCAGCGCACCGTCGGACGATCTGCTCGTATCGCGTAGGCGGGGACAGTAACAAACGGCACCGGGCACGCCGCCTGTCGGCTCCCGCTGTACCGCCCCCAGAGGGCCGTCCATCACTCCCACTCCTCCCCCGGTAGGCCCAGACGCTGATGGATGGCAGGGGTCTGGAACAGTGTCCCTGCGATCTCAGCCGGCCAGGTCAGGCATGTGTCACGGTTAGATTGATGCGTTGGCCGGTAGGATGTGGATTGAACGGGCCACAGTGTGACGGTTGGTCTGAGGGATCACAGTGTGACGGTTGGTCTGGGTGGTTACATGATGACGGCTGGTCTGGGGGGTCATAGTGTGACGGCTGGTCTGGGCGGATCACCGTGACGACGGGTCTGAAAGGATCACAGTGTGACGACTGGTCTGGGCGAGTCATATTGTGACGGCTGGTCTGGGCGAGTCATTGTGACGGCTGGTCTCAGGGGGTCACAGTGTGACAGTTGGTCTGGGTGGGTCACAGTGTGACGGCTGGTTGCATGTTATTCTGGCGGTCAGAACTGGGAATCAGTTGTGACCCAGGTTAGTCAACTCGTATGCCCTAACTGGGAGCGGCTGAATCGCGTACCCCAATCATATAACCTGTTTCTAGCTTAGCGTGTATGTACAATTGCACATTGCGCGAACGTAAGCCCACTCACCAGAACTTGTGTGGAATTACATTATCCGCTCACGTTTCAAATCTATCAGGTGCATCACTGGTGACGTTAGTTACCCTTGTCTTGCCAGGGCTTGTCAGTCAGCCTCATATAAACCTCTCGATTAATCTGAAGTGGTATCATGCGTGTCGACCAGCATGATGTCACCGGAAACCTTTTATCTTGAAGCGCTTTAGCGGCGGTAAAAATACTGCAGTCAGTACAATGTTGTACCACTGGTTAAGACGTCCGGTGATGCTCTGGTAATTAAGAATAGTATATCGCAAAGTAGCTATTTGAGAAGTCGTATTTGGTGCTACGATCAAAACTGATCCTGTTTGTCTTGTAGACGTTTGCATTTGTGCCTGCTATTGATAGTATGACACGCTCTACCGAGCTTGTTGGCCGCCAATCCTGTGCTGAAGCAGAACTGTCATGCGACATAAAAATAACACGGTACTAGACGCTCAACCACAAAGAAACTATAGGAAAACGGCCGGGTGCAGTTTGCAAACGTTACACGCAAGTTTCAGATCACCCACGAAGGGTGTGACACGAAACAGGCGTCCCGTCCAACTGTTTTGCCGTTTGACCAGCTGACCAGTCGGTGGGAGTGCATGACACCCCGAGTGCGGTGCGCTACCCGCCTCCGGCACTTCTGGCAGCGGTCAGGAGGACTCTGAACGCTGGGCGACGGAGGCCAAACAGGACGCAATCTGGCGATGGGCAAGTGCGGGCTGGATGTCGGCGTGCGTTGCGATCCTGCTGCAGATGAATTCCCGCGCCAATGAATCCTACAATTGCAGGGATTTCCTGCAGATTTCCACCTCCCGCTTCACGTCAGCTGCTTACTCTTGAACAGCAGACGTACAGGCAGCCCCGGGAAAAAACACTGGCTCGGTCAGGTCGAGGCGATGATCTCAGGGACTGGCATTGGCTCTGGTTCAAAGTCATGATGTAGCCCTTCTTGACAGAAAACTGTGCCCGCTTGGGCTTGAAGGGCGTGTCGGGTGAGACGAGGGTGATTCTTGGAGTGAGGATGTTCGCCCCCTTGGCCTTGTCTGTCATAATGGTCCTCCATCACGGCGCTTGGGAAAATCTAGATTTGGTAGAACTATGATGGGATTGCCTTGCTTGAGCACCGAGTTGTGTGATAACAGTCATGATGACTCCAGGCTCCTGAGAAGCTGCAACAGGTAGTTCACAGCCCCTCTTGGTCTGGGCCAGTGCCCATCAACTGGCAGGCTCTTACCTCTCCATACGACTTTTCCAGAAGCTCACAGTTTAAATTAACAGTAGCGAAGGTTTTCGGTGCAAAGATGACTTGCTCGCTGAGCCAGGTTGAGTCTTGGCACCGGTCTTCCAGGTCGAGAAGGCTTTGGCAACATCATCGAAAATTTTACGTTTACGTGGAAGGGACGCTTGATTTGGCTGCCTTGGCCCTGGACCTGGCTGCTGCCAACTTGTAAGAGTTGGTTGGTGAACTGCCCCGGTGTTTTGTCCCCATTTAATGGCGCACACGTCGGTGGTGGGATACCTACCGCCGTTCTGCTTGCCACTTACTGCTTGTCGCGCCGTAATTATTTGATGACGTGGCTAAACAACCGCGTAGGTACGTGTCTCCCATTTAGTATATAAGGTTACGAAAATAATGCATGCTAAGTATCAGAGAGCTTACACACAAACCAAAAAAGCATACCTACTTGATACCATTTAACCTTAAACCTCAACGGCCAATGAATGAAAGACGAAAACATGCTGAGCTTAATAGCATAAAGCTGCTGGTTCGTGTTGTTCATTTGTTATGCTTTTTCGCGTCCCAGGACTTTAATTTATGCTGTATAGTTCGCTAAATAAACAGCAAAATATCAAAATGTTAATTGACATTTCATGTTTTTTGTTCTCCAACACCAATAAATGCCTTGGACCCCAGTCAGCTGCTCCGGATGAGGGGAGTCGAGACCAAACTGGTTTTAGAAGATAAGTGACTGACACAAGAATAGAAATTCACTGATAAGCGTCTATTCTTTATTTCAGGTAGTTTTTGGAAACCGCTGGAAACAACGTGATGGCGGGTCTCATTTCTTGTACAAAAAGGATACTGCCACGGCAGTAATTAGGTACACGTTGCCCTATCGTTTTGTCGCTTTATCCCGATCTTCATAAGGATCAGCAGCTGTTTAAAGCCATCCCTATCGCCACACCCCACCTTGGCAGTATTGATGATGGTGATAATGACGCAGTTATGACATAGTCTCAAAGAGTAGCTAAAGCCTCGCACAGAACGACGGCGGAATCAAGCCAGCGAACTCTCCTCTGTTCGGTGATATACTAACTTGGGTCATTTGGGCTGATGAAAAGTTCACGGAGACGGTCAAGAAATCAGTTTCTTCACGTTTCAATGGTAAAATAGCCAAGCTGAGAGCATTCCTCCTGGAAATGGAAGTACATGGACGCGCCTTTGCGGTCGCGACGCAGGTCATTGCACACCTTTTCATGTCCTCTCAGATATTCCTGTTACCATACTAACAACCAGGATCACGGAACAACGGAATTCGAACCTGTCCCCCGAACTGAAGGCGCCAGGCACTTCACCTCCCAGCCCCGCGTAACGTGCGACTCTCGGAGTTCTGACGGAAGCGTCCAGTGTCTCTTGTGTGTCACTCGAATTTGGGGGGGGGGGGGGGGCAGCTCTCGTCGGACACGGCAGGATTTTGCAGCAAATGCTCCACGCGACATGTTGTTGAGTTGAAGACGCGCTCGCTTTGTTAAGGCCGAAAACCTGGGCCCTGACGCGAGGAAAGAATGAAACCCGGGACCCCAATACCCATGGGGGGATCGAAATATTTGTTGAGAAATCATTGCATTCAACAGTACGTTCAGGAATATCATCCAAACTGAATGAAGAGTGAATGTAGAAGCTTGGCCACTTAGAGTCTCATGCTTTCAAAATTCTTGTGCCGATTCCACAATTTGCAATATACCGGGAGGTGTTGGTTGAGGGACATTATAATGCTGATAAATCATTCTATTGGAGACACTTTATATTTCGCGCTACGATCATCCCTGCAAGCGCTGGATATACTACATATCAGGAAGTAAATGGTATAAGACTACTACGCGCCTGAGTGGGGGTCAGTTGAGCCCGCGGGTTTTTCCAGAGTGACTTTCGAACGACACAGTGTAGCCGCGCCAAACTTTGCTTGGTTGAAAGCAACTGAAATGCAGATCCTTTCGTACTAAAAGTAAATGTGTCTTGTATGGTCGTTAACCTACGTCAGGTCAAAGTGAGGGTGTGGCTATCAGCGAGGGCCATTTCTGGGGGCTCGTTTAATATGATGCGACAACGGAGTGTTTGGTGTAGCCTTACATCTCCGACATAGTTTTCTAGGCAGTACAATCATTCTTTAAATTAAAACAATTAAAACAAATTTCATTGACCTAAAGCAACGTATGAAGGTCAAGCTGAGTAAAAAATAACTGGCTTTTTACACGAAAGTTTGCTGTATGGGTAGCGTATGGTCCCCATTTTGAATTTATTAAGAACGGTAATCGCAACACATATGTCTCATGGACTTCTTAAGGAAGAGTAGGTCCTCACCGGAACTGACCCAGATCAATATTTTGTTGCATACCAACTAGCGTAAGTTCTGGCGCTTATCCGAATGGTAAAATAGATGCAGGTCTTGCAGGTTTTGGTCATCTTGATCTTCTTAGGATAAAATGGTCACTGACCTCAAGTGGAAACCAGTCAGCTTCTGCTTAGAACAGGAATCTAGGATCGAGGCGGTTGCATGAGGTGGTCTAGGGGTACTTTGGATACGAATCTGTAGTCTGATTTTGTTTTACCTTATTTGACCCGATTGTCATCACCTAAGAACTTCACATTTTGACAACAGTGAGGTCACGTATAGTTCAACCACCCTGCGAATTTGGTGTATCTAGTTCTGTTAGTTTTTGAGATATCAGGGAGGTCGAATTGAGCCCCATCCGAACGAAGGGCATTCAACTGGCCACCCGGGCGCGTGCTAACTCAATTGGCTATACGTTAAACCAGGAGATAACTCGGTACTTCCTGGTATACATACACACACGCACACACACACGCACACACACACACACACACACACACACACACACAATATATATATATATATATATATATATATATATATATATATATATATAATTGACAGGATGAACGCAACTAAAATTATTAAGTACCGCGAATATAATCGTTCTTCACCACTATAACGTCGCTTAACAAGCACTGCTTGACAAACTGAAGCCCGTTAACTCAGCATAAGAACTTTGAACTCATAATGCCGAGAAGCTAGAAGCTGAATGATTTTATTTTGTTTATCAACTACAGCTTTTAAAAGCCTTTATGCTAATTACTGCGTTAAATAAGTAGTATGATTGGGAATTAAATGTTAATTTATTTTCATTGATGTTAAAGCGGCCGCAACCGATTACGCTCTGATTTTCAAAGAAAGGCGGTAAAGTGCGAACAGATCATCACGATTTTCACATACACCATGCTCCAAAGCTCCGATTTGGAATGAAATTTTTGAAACATCGCGACAGATTCTGTTGCTTTTTAAGTCTGCACATTTTCTAAAGATTTAATACAAACCCTTAAATGTGATAGATTTTTGAGGCCAGCGCCCACTTTAAGTATTCCTTGTTCTTGAGTCATGATCCCAGCATCCAATGGTAAATGCTTGGCAGAGTTCTTCCTTTTCGCTGACACCAAGTGACCTTCAGCACGGCTGCTGCCACCGGCTGCAGAGCATTCCAGTGAGGGACAAATAACGTGAACTCGAATCGGCTAGAGCCCCTCTTGATAGAACGCCTGCCTTCCGGTGCAGGCCCTGGTGGGTGAATCGGAACGTGGGCGCTCTAACCAACGGCACTATGGGAACGGACAGAATAAGTCAGAAAGAAGCGCACGCAATTGGGTGACACACGCGCACAGGATGCATACATGTGCATCTCCTAGCAAAAAGGCCAGAGCATCCGCAGAAAGCACGAAAGAAGAACTTTGGAAAGGCGAGCACACACCAAGGCTGCCCCATTTCCGCCCAAGGCATCTGGATACACCAAAGAAAAAACAAGAATATTATGATCAACTGTAAAGCTGTTGCTACATTAAGGTTCGGTCTCCTTCGGTTCGGTTCGGTTGACAGGTTAAGTTTTGGTAGGCCAGGTCACATCCGGCAAGGCCAGGTCGGGTTAGGCCTATCCTGACCTGGCCTTGCTGGATGTTGACCAGACATGACCTAGGTCATGTCGGGTCAGCTTAGAATGAGGTAGGTTAAGTTAGCTAAGGCCAGGTTATACTGGGCTAGGTTATTTTGAGCCAAGTTAAGTTACTTTGGTGATGCAGAATGAGGTTAGAAGGAAATTAAGCCGCCGGTCTTCAGACCGAGGTTTCCTTGATCTATAGAAAGAAGGAATGACGTGTAATTTCAAGTGAAATGTTGATCACTGACCTTCCCCAAACGTGTAATGCGTTACAGCAAGCGGCTTGGCACATTATTCCAATTGATTGGTGCGGGCAAACGTGCTGAACAACAGGCCGAATGCAGCGCGATCTCTCCATGGTAAAATATTCTGTCATAAAAAGTTTTCCCTTGTTTGGTAACTTTTCGTGGCGGGTAACATCACCTTTTATGACGGTCTTGATACACTGCCGGAAAATGTGCGACACACAAGGCTCGTCGAAACTCCACGGGTGCGCCAAACGCAGCAGTGTTCCGGTGTGCTCGGGGTTGGGGTGTGAAGGGTACACTTGCCATTCGTGTCAGTACTTTATTATCTACAAGATGCGTAGATTATCTGTGATGACAGATGTCTGCACACAGGATCCGTCCCATACCTTTGTGACTTTTGTTTTTTTGTGAATCTGAATGAGTGTTACTGATTTACTAAATTTGCCCTCACATCAGCTTCGAACATGGGGTATTTTGTCACTGTCCAGTACGAGAACCGGTAGATTTGGCATTTACCAGTGATGTGATGGATACCCATTCAGCATTGTCCAGTTCCTGATGTGTAATGTGGCATCACAACATGTAGCAGGTGGTTTACTGAAGCTGTAAGGACTAAGGTGCTGTAGGTCTGTCAGTTTGGTGACTCAAGTTATTCCATCATGATAGCTCCCATGGGAAAGAGCTTAAACATGCTGAAGTGGTGTTGGCATAGGGTAATTTGCACTATGAATGGTGTCTTGGCTAAGGCAACCCTAACTGCCAACAGGATAGGCCAAGGATGTGTCATTAATAGGCACAAATAGCACTGGCTTCTGAACTATTAATTTCCAGGAATATTTATTCAGGACATAAGGATCATCCTTCTATCAGTTTCCAACTTTCAGTCTTTAAAAATGCATAGGATGTCTGGTCTTTGGGGCAGGAGGTGGTATGCTGGGGACCAGTCCTTAGGAACAGTCAGTCCTGATTATGGCAAGCATGCGGCTACTAAATGATGACCCATTCTGCTAATTTAAACAAATAAGATGCAAACAAGAAGTGCAATTCTAACACATTCTTGCAAGTTTCCATTCTGCTAAATAGTTGTAGCTGCACTTGTCATTCTCCTGAATCATAGCCTTGCCTGTAGTTATTAATAGGATAATTTGAGCCAGAGGGGTGCTGTCAGGAAATTGGGGGAGGGGGTTAATAGGGCAGTGGCTAAGTTGGTTGTCAGGGAAAGTAGAAGTGGAGGGATTTATATCCAGCATTGCTCTCCATTTTGTAAGAGGACAGTGCTGTCTTATAGTTTCGGGTGTTGAGCATATTTTAAAAAAAAACTTTATGGCAGTAGCAGTCATTGATTGCACTTTATTAGTGGAATTGTATGTTGTTTTTATAAATTCTGTTTGTTGTTAACCAGTGACATTTGTGATATGTTCAAGATTATAACACTTCTTATTTGATCTATGTATCACAACAATTTTAATCTGTTTCCTTTTGCTTTCAGCTCCAGGAACACTATGGACAGTTCACCAGCTCCTGATCATAGCCCTTCACCATGGAATCAGCCAGAACAGGATTTGGCAAATGGCAACATGCAGATTGATGATGCGTCTTACATTCCTGCTGAGATGAAAAGACATTTTGACTTCATAGATATTAGAAAAGGTTTGTTCTACATTTCCTCAGTGGAACAATTAACAAATTATGTCATATTATGCCTGCGTCTCATCATAAAATTGCAGTCAAAAGGAACTGGGCCTGACAGGGACTAGAATTCCTATAACACCACTATCTGCTCAAGACATGTACCCAGCAGTGTCATTGTTTATGCAGAAGGGATGGCAGTTCCACTGGAACTCGCTGAGTGCCAACAAGCTGCAGTTGGTGAAACCCCATATTGGATTATGGCAGTCGTGCTTTCGGGACAATAGGGGGAAGAAGTTGCCCTTTGCCGGTTACGCATAGGTCACACATATGCTACGCACCGTCACCTGCTAATGGCTGGCGACAGACCATGCTGCGGTCGGTGCTCTGATCCACTGACCGTGCATCACGTACTGGTCGCTTGCTGCCACCTTACTGCAACGAGAGCGCAGTTTTTCGGACGCCACGTCCAGAGTCGCACGCTATGCGACTTTTTAGGGGATTCTTCGAACGTCGTCGAGTTTGATAAAGTGCTCCAGTTTCTTCGCGCTATAGATTTCCCAGTAATCTTTTCATCGTGATGCTAGGGCCGATCATCAAGGCTCTATAGTGTGACCTGATTGATGCACTTCTCTGCTTGACGGCCCTGCATAAATTGATAGTTATGGGCGCTGCATGACCTTCAGCAGCCGATGCGCCCTAAAACCCCAAATAATCATCATCATCAAGGAATTGGGCCCAAAATAAGTCATGTTTTGTTTCAGGTGCAGGTAGGGTGGCATCAAGTAATTCGATTACAATTATGCCTGAATTGGTAATAGGCATTTTGCCATTACATTGTAATGGCTCTGCAGTGTGTTGGCTGTGAGATGGGTTCAATTGAAAAAATCTCAGATATGGCAGAATTTGCATTCATATCGTGCAAAGAATCTGTCAGCTGAATCAATTCAGGGGCAGGAAAGCAACAAGGCAGATGTGGCAGTTTTTCTGTATTGCATCTGTTAGGGATGGAAAATGCAACTTGTGAAATCAATTTTTCTCTTGCTCTACATACAGTTATTCTAGACCACTTTGTGGGCCCAACCTTCTTAAAACCAGCTTGCACTGCACAGGTGCATGGCCCTTTTAATCCTGTTGGTGATTATTCACCAATGGCATCAGCAACAGCAGTCAGTCAAACCAATCAAAGAAGCAACTGATGTCATGACTGTTATCAGTGATTGCATGTCACCCTGGTCAGCCATGCCATCAACATGCACATGCAGCCATGTATGAGGCTTGTCACGGCGTCTGCCGCGTACCCGTCAGACGGCCGCCTGCTGCTGGGCGCCTCCAGCCTGACGTCACGCTACTGGACTGGCGACGTGTGGCTGTTCAACAAGGCGGCGGACGCGCCCGACATTGGCCTCTTCTCGGCGGCCCGCGAGCTCGAGAGCGGCACGTCCTGCGGCAAGTTCATCGACGGACTCGGCGTCCGCGCCGTTGTGTGTCAGGTGAGTGTCAGAGGACCGGGCGTGGGTGTGGCCAGAGGACCGCGTGTGGGACATTCAGAGGGCCGGGCGTGGGTGTGGCCAGAGGACCGGGTGTGGGACATTCAGAGGGCCGGGTGTGGGTGTGGCCAGAGGACCGCGTGTGGGACATTCAGAGGGCCGGGCGTGGGTGTGGTCAGAGGACCGGGTGTGGGACATTCAGAGGGCCGGGCGCGGGTGTCGTCAGAGGGGGAGTAGTGCGCAGAGTTTGGTCTGGCATCAGGCCTTGGGTTTGTAATGAACTCTAGGGCAAACAGTATTCTGATACTATCAATGGTCCGAACCTCTATGTGATGCACGTGCTGGCCTGTGTAAAAGTGGGTGGGTGCAGTGCGTTGATTATTCCAACCTCTAGAACATACGATAGTTAAGATGCTGAAGTTGGTGAGAGCAGTCAGTGTGCTGGCCAGTCTCGTGGTCTAGGGAGTTGGTGCCGTGCAGGGACCTTTACCACCGCTAGGACGCGGGCGTGGCGGGTGCTGCACTTGATAAGGTGATGCGCAACACGCCAGGCCTCTCCCACAGTCAACCTTGATTGGGTATCCTGTTGTGCTGGATGAGAGTGGTCGGTACACGGGCCCGCACGGCCGGCAGGACCTGGGCGTGGTGGAGGTCCTCGGCTGGGAGGAGCCGGACGAGGACGCCACGGACGAGCGCCTGCTCATCACGCACGGCCGCAGCCTCGAGCACGACGGTGCCGTGCTGGCGCTCGACACGCTGCCGGCCGGCGACGGCGGCGCCGGCGACGCTGACGCCGACGCCGTGCGCGCCGTCACCGGCAGCGCCGACGGCGCGTGAGTGGACGCGCGGGCCCGGCCGTCGCCGCTGCGGCGATCTTGGCGCTCAGAACGTTTTCGCGCCGTTCGGTCATCAGTGCGGTGATGACATGGACACTCCCGATCCATTACCAGATCGTTTTCGTTGATAGCATCCTTTGAGTATTTTTATCACACTGGACTTGGACCATTCGTTTTATCCTTGAAAGGTAGACTTCCTTATTGTATTGTGGGGTTTATGCCAGACTTGGACCACCTTTGGATCCTTGAAAGGCAGGTTACTGTGGAACGCTTCCTTATCGTATTGTTTTTTTATGTCGGACTTCTACTCCCCTTGGAGGCCTTGGAAAGTAGGTGTAACCATACGTCTGCTGTGTATACGCACAGTGTGTCCACACGACGTCCCGAAATATTGGGCAACGTCGCCAGCCGCCGCGGCCGCCGTGGAGTTGGATCGAGCGCCCACCCGCTGTTCCAGGATCAAGGTGTGGGACCTGGAGACGCTGGTGGCGGACGCCTCGTACCCGGGCGCACACTGCCACTGGGTGACGGGCGTCACCTGCCACCCGAGCCTGCCCCACCAGATGGTGTCGTGCGGCCTGGACGGCCAGGTGCTCATGTGGGACACGCGCGCCGCCCGACCCGCCTCACGTGAGTACGCGCATGCCATCCGGTACTGGCAGCCGTGCTCTGAGTGGGAACGCAGCCGGCTTGACTTTGTACTCGTCCTGGGAGGGGGAAAGGGGCAGAGGCGTTGGATTTTAGGTGGTGGGGGGCCAGTCCTTCCCAGCTTTGGAAAATGTTGTCGCGCGACAATTGCTGGCATCGAATGAAAGAAAAACCAACTAAATGTAAGCAATAAAGGCATTGAGCCCCTAGTTTCTCGGCATTTTTGGGTGGAGTTCCCATGCTGACAATAATCGGCCTTCTTTAAGCCAGGAAATACTGGCTAAACGACATTATTGAAAAAGCATCGGCTCTATTGCCAAAACTCGGCATTTCAAACTACACTCATTCTCAGAAGTGTTGAAACTCCATTTCTTTCCACCTCCTTGGTTTACGGGCTAGGTCGCTCGTGACCATGGACACAGCTTGCAACGGTTTTGACAGCAGAACCAATATTTGTTCGGTAGCATTGCCGAACCAGTACCCTCAAAATTTTGAAGGTCGATTTTTTTCTGGATGAGAACCCTGAACTCACGATGCCGAAACCACCTAAATCCGCATTTGGGCCAAATTCAGCTGAAGACATTGCCGCCGCCATAGATAACTGTTGCGCTAGTTTCAACATTTGTTTTCGCGTTGTGCAGTTTAAGAGAAATCCGGTAGAGGTGGTACTGGCACCGGCCAGCCCGGCCCGTGTCTGGCGCCGTGGATCCCACCCACGTTCCTCACCGTAGACGCCGAATTTGAGCTTTCACCATGACGCTCATCGGCACCCCAGGATAGGAGCGTCGGCATGTCACGACCTGACGGTAGCAGTTCCACCGCCTGACTCACTCTTTCCCGGCAGAGCTGGCCGGCGGCGGCGGCGACCGGCCGCTGTGTGTCGCCTGGTCGCCGACAGATAGCACCACCGTCGCCGTGGGCTGGGAGTCGGGTCGCGTCTCGCTGCTGAACGCCGTCGGCGGGGGCGAGACGGCGGCGGCGGCGCGCGGCCGGCCTCTGCACCGGCTCTGCTGGCACCCGCGCCGGCCCTGGCTGGCCGCCTGCGGCGACGAGGCGAGGGTGGACGTCCTGGCTGCCTCCGACCGCATCCAGACGCTGTGAGTGCGCCCACGCGTCGATAGGAGACGCACCCGGCGTGGGGTGCGCTCTGCTAATAGTTTCTGCTGTCATTAGTTGTGACCGCAGTGCAAAGGTGGCTCTGTTAGACGCGAGTTTGGCTTTATAGTCCGCTAAAATGACGCATGCGTTAAGAACTGTGCACGCTCGGTTCCTTTCTTGTCCTGCTCACAACAGACGTGACCCGCGTCAGCCGCGCGCCCGCCTGACCTACGCCTCGTTGGCTGGCAGACACTCGGACGAGCTGCACACGGACATGGTGCGCGGCCTGGCCTGGCAGCCCGACTCGGACACGCTCTACTCGTGCGGCTGGGACAAGCGCGTGCTGAGCCGGCCGGTGGGCTGACCGGCGGCTGGCCCGACCCGCCCTGCGTCTCGTTCATCCCCCGTCGTTCATTAATACACGTGTCTCCTCGACCTCGGGATTTATTCTTTGCATAGGTAAATTTAATCACGCATGCAGAGAATACCGGTAAACGCCACCGCCAATTGAAAAATAGTCTTTCCAAGAATGGAGCCAGTGGCACGTAACCCAACACCGCCCCGGCGACGCAAATTAACAATCCGTACAAAAGCAAACGGCAGGAATGAATAATTCCATAGCTATCGCCTCCTCGGACTGACCCGCCCTGTAACAGTACACCCCCCGCCGGCCGGTCGCCGCCCGCGGCGGCGTTAAAACGCGGCACCACCTAGCGTCCGAACTCCGTGGCGTCATCGTCCGTGATGTCGCCGTACTGCCAGATGTTCTTATGCTCGTGGCGCGCGCGGTCCTGCGCTGCCTGGTACTCGGCGAGCAGCGGCCGCAGGCGGGCGTCGCGCCGCTGCGCCACCATCAGCAGGCCCTCCTCCAGCAGCGCCTTGGCCACGTCCTGCTGGTTCGACCGCAGCGTGACGTACTCCAGGCCGTCGCGGTACTCGACGTTCATCTCCACCTCGCGGTCGCAGCAGTCGTCGGCGAAGGCGTCGCGCGACTCCTTGGCCAGGTCCTCCTGCGGCGGGGAGGCGGCGCGGGTCACACAGAGAGGGCGCCGGCGGCCCCGCACGCCGCGGCTCCACAACCGGCTCGCTGGGAGCATGTCCGGAGGGTAAATGGCCGGGATAGAGTCGGAACCGCTGTCCCAATCCGTTCCGGCTCCCAACTGTCCCATTTTGGAAGTGGTCAGGCTGGTTTGCAACGCTAATTTTCCGGGTGAGGTCGCTCACAGAGCTGGCCCGGCAGACCACGGGCACCCGCACCTGACACCAATGGCACCCACCAACTGTAGTCACATTTGGATGTCCCCGCACGTTACATGATACTTAAAAGCCGATTATCGCTATGCCACGCCACAAAACTATATCAATCACACAAAAAACAGGGCCACGATGGCCATGAGCCCCGCGTCCGCTTCCCCACACTCTAGCTAACTGACACCGACACCGGCGTCACCGTGCGCTGGCCAACACTCACGTCCTTGGGCATCTTGACACAGGCGAGGCGGTACTCCTTGGCGTAGCGCGGCGCCGCGGCGAACATGCCGGGCAGCGCGGCGCAGTCCGTCACCGGCACCGTGGCGCGGTTGCCGTAGTCGACGTAGATGAGGCTGACCTGGCCCTGCACTATCCGCTCGACGCGCGCCCGGTACCACCCGCCGTCGACGAACTTCGCCGCGCACTGGTCCCCTGGCCACGCAGCGGCACGCGGGTCAGATCGGGGCCGTGCAGGGGCGGCACATGGGCCGTACGCTGGTTTGTCGGGGTGGAACAGGGCAAGGCGAAGTCCGGCGCAGGGCACCACCGCCGGGGACGGACCAGTGAGGTCCGGATTGCCGGTCGGCGAATGGCCCACCCTCTCCTGCGCGCGCACAGGAGAACGTGGGCCGCGTCCCCTCTTCAGCACGTGCAACGCATTTTTTTTTGCAAATTTTCGTGCAAACGAATTTTCCTTCCCCAGTCGGCATTATCCAGTCTGGTGCGACAGTCATGGTCCAATGTGTTCATGGACCTTAAGAGTAAGATTAATGGCACACTGATGTCGCGAGCACTTGCTGTTATGATGACCATTTCAACAATCATTTCACCCAAGCAGATCAGTGAGACCGAAATGTAATAACGTCCGATTCCTAATGGGTGATCTAGAGGTATAAGCATGAGTACCATCACATTGCGGCTCCATAATTTCGACGGAAATAGGCCAATACTGAACTGTGACAATAAATTTGCACACTCCGCTCGACACAGGATGCGTATAAACCAGTACACAATTAAACAGTAGGTCTTCCACAGCTATGTTGGCTTTGATCGTGCACAGAGTATGTCCAACGCGTGATCGTCACACATGTTTTGGCTCATGAGCTCCGCAGTTAACCCGGCGGCGCTTGAGCGAGCATACCTTTCTTGGGCCGGTAGGCGCCGGCCAGCGGCGGGTTGTTGGCCAGCTCGGCACGCATCTTCTCCATCATGGTCTCCAGCTCCTGGCCCTTGTCGACGCTCTGCGCGAAGAAACGGCAGTCATCGCCCACCTCAGTGATGACCACAGAGCGGTAGTGCTCCTTGCGCTCGCCCGACTCGGCCTCTGCCGACGACTCGTCCGCCACGGGCGCCTTCTCTACGTAGTTCTTCCAGATGCCCTTCTTGGCGGCCTTGGCCTGGTCGACAGCGCGCTGGATCGCCGTGTAAGTGCTTCGAGTTCTCGGCCGAGAAGTGCATCGACGACAGGCCGGCCGTCACCAGCTCGACAGCCAGGTTCTTGCCGTCCACGTACAGCCAGCCGATGAAGTTACCGACCTTGTCCATCGAGTCGACCTCGATCTGCACCTCGTGCTGGAGGCAGAGGTCGCGCGTGAAGGCGGCCGCCTCCTCGCCGAACGGCTCGGCCTCGGTCGTGGTGCCGCCGGGGCCGGGCCGCGCGCCGCGCGGGCACGACACGCCCGCCAGCAGGAACGTGATCAGGCACGTCTCGCGCGGCACGTAGATGCGCATGCGCGAGCCGCTGGCCACGAACTCGACAATGCCGTCGGCGCGACCGACGCGCGTCAGGAACGGCAGGAACTGCTTCGACTTCTGCAGATCGCCGGCGCAGTCCTGCACCTTGACGGTGGTGTTCTCCTTCTTGCCCCAAAGGCCATTGCCGCTCTTCTGAGCCTTCATCTCGGCAGCGAGCAGGGCGTCGTACTGCGACGAGCGGCGCTCCTCGTCCTGCCGGTAGCGTACCACGGTGGCCAGGCCCTTGCTGACCAGCGCCTCGGCCATGTTCACGCCGCCCAGCTTGATGGTGCAGCACGTCTTCTCGGGGAAGTTGTCCGACGCCGGCTGCACGTAGTCCACGTGTACGTGCACCTTCTGGCCGATGACCTTGCGCCGCAGGAACTCGCGCGCCTCGTACAGGAACGGGATGTCGTACAGCGGACGCATTCGCTTGGGTCGCTGCACCTGCTCGCCGTCCTTGCTCTCGAGCCGCGGCGAACGCACCGACGACAAGAAGAACTTCTTGGTGGAGTTGTCCGGCAGCCGAATGACCATGGCGTCCGCGTTCACCACCTCGACCACCTTGCCCGTCAGGTCCTTGTCCTTAACGGAGCTCTGCGCGAGAACGAAAGCCGTTAGGCACGGAGGACAGATTTCAGCACTTTATCACTATGAGCATATCGATTCATTATGAACATATCATTCTGAATGTATCATTATGAACATAAGATCAACATATCGATTCGGAGAAGTGATCATCCATAACATGGCGGCTTTGATACACGGTTAACGGTCGACCAATAAATAGATAGGCAGACAATGTACAACCAGGGCAAACCCAGCACCCACCAAACCAATCGTCCAGCACACAGAAGTTGGCGACATACCAGAGCCGCGGAAGGCTTGTAGTCCTTCCATATCCTGAGCTTCTTCTCTTTGGCGACACGCTCGGCGCTCCGCAACGCTTCCACTCCGCAGTGCGCATGCGCAATCGACCAGTCAACGCAGCGGGCGAATCCATCACGCAGAAGGAGTTCCGCGATGTTGCCATTCTGAAAAACCGCGCCAATCATGCCGGATACCAATCACGGTTTTGCGTATTGGGGCTAATGCGCGAATCTGTATCACAACGTTGAAAAAAGGCTAATTGGGACATGTCAGTCATGTACAAACCTAGTGGTTACAGATCCACCCACAATAGCGACTTCGCGTGAACTTCTTCCACAAAGAACTACTCCTGGTCAAGTGGTGCGGCTCTAACAAAAGTTCCACCTCCACACCGACCACCGATTGCCACATGTAAAGGCCCCAGCCCAGCCATCAGGCCCCAGCCCAGCCAGGTCCCCGGCCATCGTCAGGGCTCTAGCGTCACAGCATCCCTCGCATTCGACAACGCATCGGCAGCCCGATCGGCAGGGCATCGGTGGCCCGATCGGTAGCGCATCGGCAGCCCGATCGGTAGCGCACCGGTGGCCCGATTGGTAGCGCACTGGTGGCCCGATCAGCAGCGCACCGGCGGCCCGATCCGCCGCCCGCCGCCCCCGCAAGCAGCGGCGTGCCTACCGGGTGCAGCACGCTGCCGATGTAGTTGGCGTTGTTGACCGACTCCAGCACGATCTGCACGTCCCGCTGCAGCAGGCGCGACTCGACGAAGAAGCGCGCCTCCTCGCAGTACGGCTCGGCCAGCGCCTGGTCCGGCTTGCCTGGAGCGGAGGCGGGCCGTCAGCGGACCGGTGGGAGGCGCGGCTCCACTGGCGCTCCAGCCACGCCCATCGGCTGGCTTGGGGGAGGGGGGGGGGGGGAGCGGGGTGGGGCGACATTCGGACAGGCGCCGCGGTGCCGTCATGAGTTGGTTTCCCAGTACAGTACGGTGTACATGGGGTGGTGATGCCCCTGCTGACAGATGCGGCGCATCGCGTTCAGGCGCCGCCCAAAACAAAACAGCGTTCCATTTAATCGAGCGCCGGTTATCGGCCGTTGGCTATCGGACAGGAAGCACGTGCGGCACGACCGACCTCCCACGAGCAAACCCACAACGCCAGCGCCATTCCCACGACTGGCAAGAGACAGACCGGAACTGTCCCGATGCCACTGACCCACACCACCCACTACCACTCCCCCACAGGGTCCGAAGCGCCCACGGTCGGCGCGCCGTTGCCCGGCGCCGGGGCCCGGCGCCGGGGCCGGGCCGGGCCGGGCTGGGCCTCACCGTCGGGGCCGAGCCGCACGGTGGGACAGCGCACGCCCGACAGCATCACGGTCACGTGGTACATGTCGGGCAGCAGGAAGGCGCGCATAGTGGAGCCGTCGCGCACGTGCTCGATCACGGCCGACACGGGCTTGCCGCCGAACTTCTCCACCAGCACACGCGGGTTCTCCACCGACCAGGTGATGTCCCGCACCTGCGACTGCGGCGGCGGAGGGCGGAGCAGGGTCATGGGGGCTCACGGTCATGGAGAACCGCCGTTAAGAGACCCGAGATCAACAGTATGCCACCGCTGACCACGTGGCTATAGAACGATTCGCAATTATGTATTATGAACTATGCGCTCAAACGTCATAGTCAACAATCATTAACTATTATATGCTGAGTTTCTTTACGTAAGCAGTTTTAAATTGACGAGAGCAATCTCGCAAATGACCTCTCGCTTTATAATGTTACTGCCACCAAATATCGGCCCCTGCGGCGCAAGCGGTGGTGAAGTTTCCCGTGCAAACGATATCACTGTAAAACCCGTTTCAAGCATCGACGCCCACCTTTCAAATTTGCACTTCAAATAGGTCACCACGTGGTTAATCGGAATCGATCCATATAGCTCGTGAACACCATTTAGCCAAGTTGACGCACGCGTTTCCCTTCTTTTGAGGCGGAAAACTGTGATAGATTATGGACGTCCTTCGACTCCTTGTTCGAGGATACTTACAACACGGGAAATCTTTACGCGCTATCTGAACTCGAAATTGTGTGATACCATCACACAAGCACTACAGAACAGACTGTCAATAGAAGGCGTCTCGAGCCTCAGACAGCCCAGAACTCACACGATCAAAACAACTGACAGCCAGGCAGAGGGGTCGACAGCAAGCGGGGAGAGCGCGAGAGAGTGAGAAGATAACAGCTCTGGAGACTCACTGAGGCGTCGGGCGCCCACTTGCCCTTGCCCTGCGCCTTGGCCGTGTCCTCCAGCTCCACCAGCTTGGCGGCCGACTCGCGCAGGTTCTCGCGCCGCACCTGCACCAGACCCTCCGACACCAGCGTCTCCACCAGGTTCTCCCCGGTGGCGATATCTGCGGGGCACAGCCGCCGGGGTCAGCAGACGCTCGTGCGGCGGGGTGGGGCGGCGACGCTCCGCCAGCCCGCACGCGGCCACGGCCGGGCGCCACACACCGACCGCAGCGGCCTGCGTGGGCAGCGCTGGGCTGGCGAAGTCAGGAAACAAGAGCTCCGCAGGAAACAAAACTCTGCTTAACAGGACCTATCACTTACCCGACGAGGCCACCGACACACCCATCGTCTCTGAGGTACACACAACCAAACTACAACTTACATTCATAAGTAGCACACGCAGTAACAGTCCTTGAAACATAGCCATACTCGCAATGCAGGAGGTACATTTAGCCATCCTCAGCACTCTTGATGTACATATAGCAGTATCCACAGCGCCCCTGGTCGATGTGACATGCTCAAGCATGTCTGTAACATGTGAAGCCGCCCACAAACGCGTCTCCATACTCCACACTCCATGTCATCAGCGTAGCCGGACTCACCCTCCTCATAGGAAGCCGCAGCCACTTACCGGCCCCGAGGTAGACGTAGCCGTACTCGCGGCCAGTGTTGGTGGACGTTTCCACAGTGAAGAGCACTTCCTTGCCGACGAGCTTCTTGCGCAGAAACTCGCGGCTGGCCCAGGCGCACGGCTCGTCGGCCGTGGCGTCAGCGTTGCCGGCGCCGCGCCGCGCCGGCCGCGGCGCCGTCACATTGCTGAGGTTCAGCTGCCGCTCCTTGGGCCGGCCGCCCCGCGGCTGACTCCGGATGGTGATGGCATCACCAGAGAGAACCTGTAGATGACATGTCTGGTCAGGGCTGAGGCAGGTGACTGGTACTATGCATATATCATCAGGCTGCAGTGTCATGGGTGTAAGCTTGTAGCAAATGTGAAGGAAATGGCCATTTCAGGTAAGGTGATAAACTGGCTATTTCAGGCAGTCAAGAAGGTTGCCAGTTGAGTGAATATTGGGCCTCACTTTTATTGGCTTTTGACATTGACGAGCCATGAACTGGAATGATCGGGAGATCCAAGATTTGGCCAAGAGGAGCATTCAAATTTATAGAGCACCATCAACATCTGTACCCTTGCCCCACTGACAGAAGCCCCAATGCTCTGAAAAGGCCAGTGGCTGAATGCAGCTGTGAGTAATTCCATGAGTATTTGGGTGAAGCACCATGAGTCTGAATTTACATGCATGATGGTAAGGATTGATACAAAGGTATCATCACAAGCACTTAACCTTTCCTCTGCCCCATCTAGTTCTTCTTTAAAATGGGGAAGAACATTAGACCAATATGGGAGGGCTCTGAGCAATCAAGGATGTCACAGCCAGTGAATACATGGGGCCCCTGCACACCATGATGGGTCCAAAAAGTCTTCTAACCACATCCTTCTCAATCAGCCAAATGCCTTTTTTATCTAAACATGAACCCCACTATTTGCTTGATGCATTTCCTGGTTTTCTGGACCTCTGCAGACAACCCACTTTTCAAGCAGCTTGTGTTAGAAATAATAATCTGTCCAGCTGATGCCAGGGCCTTTGGAGCCCATAGGGCATTGGTGAGAGGGCCAGGGAGTGAGTAGGACCCATAAATGGTCCATGACCCTATCTGTTGCTGTTTGGGCAGCATTACCACATATCACTAGATGGCATTGCAAAGTGCTGCCAGCAAAATTAGAAGCATAAGCAAAGTCACATGTGATTCATACTGCATGCCTATCCTTTGTCTCATGCATATCCATATTGAGCATGTGTTCACACCAGGCAATTGTCAACCACCAAAAAGGGAAAGCAGAGTGGCCATCATAAACTTATGCTACTTGGTTGGTTAAATGGGCAAAGCAACTGGTATGGAAAGTCCTGCCCACAAAGCCAAAACTGATCTGGAAATAGGTTTCTGAAGTAATTAGACCTGACAATGCAATGTTGGACTTGCCTCAGAATAAGAGGCTGGGTGGCACTACTGGCTGCGGTGTCACATGCATGATTACAAAACACATCATCGCTGGTAGGCAACAAGGCAAATATTCCCACTACAATTGGTCAGGACCGCTGATCAGCTGTTCATGTGGACCACATGGCTCGCTTTTATCCGTTACAGTTGTTGCAAGCAGCGGTAATCAACACGCCACGAACCAGCCCTTTGGCAACCCTACGTGCCAAAACGTTTGTCTACGAATGTGTTTTCAGCTGTTTGCGTACCTGCTTGCAGATTCCCTTAAAAACCAACTGGGACTGATTTGGAGCACTCATCTCTGCTGGCCCGGTTTACCGTAAAGACAGATTGGCGAAAGCGAGTGAGTGGTCACGTGACCAGAATGGCTTTTATTATCTATACAGGAGTATTGAGCGTGTTTTAGATACTCTCTTCAATTAATACAGTTTGAATTGCAGCATAGTGAGGTGTTAACTAAACAAAATCACAATTGGACGTAAAACGTACTTTATCAAGGCATGATGATGTGGCACCAGTCACATCAAATAATCCATACTTAGCGACACCTATCCACAGCTCTGTATACTAGTAGTGAAATAAATATCACATAGATGACTAGTACATGACGTATAAAACTGTCGTCAAAACTGCGGATGGATTTCCTGCAAATCAACTGTGTTTTATGGTTTTAAAATGCATCATAAGTCTAGGACATATTTGGCATGGTTGTAGGTCGCAATCAAATACAGCAATTATAGTTATGTATTTTTTCATCCAAACAAAATCAGGCGCAACAGAGAAGGTATACGGACGGTACATTTAGGACTGAAGTTTCATAGAATAATTTGAGTGCACAATGGTCCGTGATTACGTCTGAATCGTTTTGTTTATACCAACAAAATCAGGGGATGTTTACGGTAAAGAATACTTATATAAATTAGCAGCTTTTAGACTTGCACAATTACACCATTTACACCGCTTTTTGTTCAAATGTGGCGCTATAATCATTTGTGGCACGTCGATATACGAACACGAAGCGAATTCTGTTGATACTATTGCTCGCATCTTAACCATCGTGTTCACCAGTTCTTGGAGGCTCGTGGGTGTTACATTAATTGCTACATTCCGTAAGCTTTGGAGATGTCCTGAGGTGTAGCTGTTTTGTTTGAATTTTACCATGTGTTTGTGCACCATGCCGCCTTAATAATTGCAACATCACGATTTACGGATGGAGCATATCATTGGCTGCTGAACCCAGTGCGATGGTTGTCTGCAGGAACTCGAGATAAGGTAAAATATGTTGAAATATTTTTAAGGATTTTATGAGGCCTTTGAATGCATGGATTTAAAGGATCCGGGGCCACTTGGCAGTGCTTGTATGAGCCGTGGCCCCTACCACCTTCATGTGCACTTCCAGGGAAAATGCAGAATTGTTTGGAGAAAGTTCAACATGCCACAATGATTTGTATGGTCCACACAGCCCTCATTGTGTGGCTGCCACCATGTGTGTGTCTGTCAAGGACAAATTGCAAACACCTGTAGGGACTGAAACCCACCATGCCACAAGTGGGTGATTAAAATGCAGGTGCTCTTACCAACTTAGTGAGCCCTCAGGATGAACACAAACACATCCTGAAGTCTTTGTTATGCTCTGATATAAGTGTCTGGATTGGCCTATTCATAAGGCTAATCCAGACACTATAACGGGCATGATGTGAAGAAAATGTAGTTAGAATGTGTGTCTGTCTAGAGAGCAGGCCCACATTCAGATGTGTGCTCTTGCTGCTATCAGCTCAAATTTTTGGCATTATCCAGGCATTAAAAAATGACATCAGTAAAACATTCTATGGGTTTCAGGTACTCTTGATCAAGTTGTGATGTGGGAATTATAACTGTTGTGGCGATAGAGTTCAAGATTTTAGGATGGTCAAACACGAAATGAAAGAAATGTTGTAAACTCTTAACTCTCTTCTGGAAGAACTAGCAAAACAGGTCTGTTTTTGCTGCTGATGTAAATGCAGAAAGCTTACTAAACAACCCTAGAGAATGTTACCTAACCAGCATGCCAAAAAAGATAGCTATATTTATGCATTAATTATATTATTACATCAGCATATGTTATAAGAAACATGCAGAAGTAGTTTAAAAAACATCCTCTGGCAGTTGTCTTGGAACTATCTTCTGGCCCATTTAATGTCAGTACAAATACCACTGCAAAGAATTCAGTCAGCAGCTACTCACCTGCCCAGCCATGATAGCAAAAAAAAAATCAGAAGAGGACTGTTTGATCTTACTTTCCATATAACATTATTGTGATTTTACAATGCTGATCATTCCTGAATATTGATTGACAGTCATGCAGGATATAACTGGTTTAATGGTTGTTTTTCGCCATGTGGGAAGAATGATGGGTGAACAGTGAATTGGGTGGTATAATACATTTGATTTTAACTGAGGTCATCCCACATGCATGGTTATATATAATTAGGGCATTGGTTATACCTATTTCCCATGCCAGATTTTCCACACCTGTGTCTGCTCTGCACACAAACTCTATCCCTTGTTCCATGTTTGCCACATGGGGTGATTGTTTTTGTTTCAGAGGTGTTTATGCTTCTGAACTTAGTTTTTCATTTTGTCTATATCAAACATGTATTGGCCCAAGTGAACCAACTTGTCTCAGAGATGCAAACTGCCTATGTGAATCCGTGCTATTTGGTGACATTTGCTTTTTTTAAAGCACTGCATTGAATAGCAGCAACATGCAGCATCTTGTCAATGTGCTTGAGGATGTCACTGCCATCTCACCCGCTTGGACTCCTCATCTCTTCCCTGACCTGAGTGGCACATGAAAAAAACAGGGAGTTCACAAAATCCCTTGGAAATGTACAAGCAGGCAGGGTGTGACATGTTTGGGGGTAATGGCGAGACAGAGAATATCTTTATTTCAATTAGTGTGTTAGTATGATGGCATTAAATCATTGTTTCGGTGTCAAAATTGGTGTCAAAAATCAAGATTGCTGTGGAGATCAATACTGTTGTGATGTGCCTGGTGTGAGACTGCAAGCTATTGTGCGTTGGTATGCAACCTGACAATTTGCGCGATCACGGGCGCCCGCGCCGGACCGCGGGTCGCCAGGCGCTAGGAGTCAGAGCTCCATGTGACCAGCCGTCGTGATCAGGGCGCCTTGCATGCAAAAACGCTCAACACCCTCACATTCCCGTACTTAATCACGGCGGTGGCATTCTCAGGCATGAAGTCGGCTAAAGCTGGCGCGATAACGGAGACCCATGCGTGACCATGACACCTCTGGCGCCAAGACATGTGGCCTCATTGTAAACAAGTTTGAGCATCTGTGCGTTGGTACCGTGGGTAGCAGCATCTTTGAAACACTGGGCAACTCTGCGTTTCTCCCCGCGTGTTGTTTCGAAGGTCCTTAAAGGGCCATAGTTTCATGCCCGCATTTCTGGATCCGCCCTACCAGTCAGGCTTCCAGCCTTCCCTTGGTCGTGTCTGAGTGCTCCCTGGCCAATTTCGGTTGTAGTTGATGCACACGAATTGCAGCCAGCATGCCCCTGTGTTAACCGTCCAATGAGAGTATGCACGTGGCGAACGGTGTATTCCGCCTAATTCAATCTTAAATGATTATGACCAAAACGAAGATGCCTCATTCAACATTTGCCAAGGGAATGTTACAAACTCACAAGGGAGCTTCTAGATTAATGGTGTCCGGTGTTGTGATTGCTGTTGTTATTGCATGCTTCCGACCGAAGGCTCTTCGGTGAGTGAACTTGCAGATTCCCAAATGTGCTGCTGTGTTGTGTCAGTTACCATGAATTTTTACTTGGTATGTTCAAATCCCCATTACTCCGGATGAATGGACGTCAGCGTACCAGCCAAGTCTTCCAGCGTAAAAACCCTCTTTACAACATTGAAAGGAAAGGACTCGTCAAAGTCCAGAGACTTGTATCAAACAGCGTCGTCATCCATCGCCAAGTTCTGCGGCTGTCATTTTTTTTTGTGCCCACGGCCTCTCATGATACCGCAAATCTGTCCCCGTGTTTCTGAACTAAAATTCCTCGTTCCGGAGCCGAATGTAGGGGCCCGCTGGTTTGCACGCCTCCCCGTTCTTTGTTTCGTGTACCTGCCGGTCCTGAACGCGGTAGGAATTTTCTCGCTCGGTAACGGACGCTGCGGGCCGTAATGCAATTCGGCGAGCAGATTGATCAGTGTCAGATGGAAACCCCGGCCGATGTGTCTGCCTCCTCCACAGATGAGGAGCGTGATGAATCTGCGGTGGGTGCCGGCGATGATCGCAATCTGCGCGATCGTCCATCATGTCGGCGCGGTCTATGAGACGGAGTGTGCGGCCACGCTGCAGATGGGCCAGTACCTGTGTCTGGACCTCAATATCGACCCCAAGACACAGCAGCCAGCCGGATGTACGCCGGAGGGAAAGGCACTGGGTGCGTGTTGAACCGCAGATGTCGCCTGAATGTGTGTTTGATGTATGCACCCTGTTGCGTGTGGCATGCTATTTTTGCGTGATGGAGCCTTGATCTCGAATTATATTTACGTTAATAGTGGCATTTGCCATTTATTCTAGATCATGGTGAAGGGGTCTTGCGGGAATGTTTATAAATTGGTATCCTGATAACCTTGAGGATTTCACCTATAACATATCGACGTGAAATAGCCTTTAGCAAGGTCATCCCTATGTATGGCATACACTATGTAAACACTGATGCCGATTCTACACCGACCTTTCGCGATGTAGACCTTGGAGAACGAGATCTTAGCTTGGTTGTTGTGTTTGCGACTTGGTCAGATTATGAACGTTCGATGTCATGTGTAAAAATACTCCCGCAACGGAAGCCAATGTGTTCTAACCATTCGTCGTGAGCAGCCGTGACGAATTAATATTTGCTTTCAGTTAACTGCACCGTTGCGAATGGAATCATCTGTAAGGAGTCTGGAAACAATACCTTCGAGAAACACATACCGTGCAAGTACACGTGAGTGTGTTAAGAAGTAGGGTTTCCGAAATGCTGAGTGTATCGATCGCACTGTTTGTGGTAAAGCTAACACACATCATATCGATAAAAGTCAAATAGGGCTTGTGTCGCTCACAGGTCTGCTCAGAGTAAGGATTTGTGCTGCACGGCTGTGATTAGACGTTCTGGCTGCGTGATGTGCGTATATACTTTATTTGACATGCTCTTGGGCGTATAAATTTTGAATGCCGTTTGTCCTCGTCATTCCATCATGAACCGGTTATTGTAGTGCACGTACTGAATCAGCGGATCGGAAAACATGCAAAATTGCGGTATGCTTATCATTTCCAACCTGACAGTGCCAACGGCGGTCCGAGTAACAGCGCCAGTGCTGGGACAATGCGCGCCATACGGACAAAGGTCACTGACCTGGCGAGACCCGCATCCGAGCCGTCCCCGGAGCTCCCACTCCAGTCGATGGATGCGCTGCCGACAGGAACGGCTATTCGTTCGAGACATCACTGCTGCTCTCCGTGTTCCTCGGCATGTTGGGCGCCGACCGCTTCTACCTCGGCTACCCGGGCCTGGGCCTCTTCAAGTTCTGCACGCTCGGCTTCATGTTCGTCGGCCAGCTGGTCGACATCATCCTGATCGCCACCCAGGTGGTGAAGCCGGCGGACGGCTCCGACTATGTCATCAGCTACTACGGCGCGGGCCTCGACATCCGCAGCATGGATAACATGACGTACCGGGTGACGCAGCCGGACTGGTAGGCCGCGGACCGGCCCGGGCCGCGCCCGTCCGGCCGGGAGCCACGCCAGGAGGACACGACCGCGGTTGCAGCGCGTGCTGGCACGTGCTTCGCCGACGCTTAGGCTGTGATACGTGCGCTGGGATGGGAAGTGAGCGCGTCTGTGTGTGTGTGTGGATACACACGGACTTGTTCTTTCTGTTTGGGTTTGTGTGAGCCAGCCGGCGCTACCTGTGTGTGTGTGTGTGTGTGATCGTATCATGAAGACCAGCAGTGGTTGCCTGATCTTGCGACAGGAAGGCAGTTGGTTATCCGCATTGTCATGGTGGTGCACCAGAAAGGACCCGTGAGGGCATGGTTTGGCACGTTTTTGGTGTGGCTGAAGTCGACAGCCGTTTTACTTTGGATGCAGCTTGCCGTAGAACGTTCGAGATATCTCTCTTCATTTGATATACACTTCTCCTTTCACAGAACTAGTTCTGATGCATGCCGAAACGGTCATAACATATTGTGCTTCAAATTGATGCGGCGTCGAAGCGTGATGGGATTTTGTTTGCGCTCCAATTTTAATCAAATGCGTTTTTTGCGGATCTTGCCCGATTTGACGGCTTTACAACAGTTTAGCACAATACTCTATATGGGGGAAACTACTGTAGCAGTCTTGTGTACCCTGGAATGCAAGTCAGTGTGATGGCTTGTCCTTGGCATGACAGTGAACATTCCTGTGTGTACATCGGTGCTTTGGTCGTCCGAGCGTAGTGATATGCCTATAGGATTTATTACCTCGGAAAGGAAGGGTGCTACTTTGGGTAGTGCCGAACACTATGTGCGAATTACAATGAGGATTGTCCAGGGTGTTGTCTCTGGAAATGGTGCTTTTGTGGAAGGAATTATGTGTGTGAAATATGGCCCTGATTCAGCGTTTTATCCACTGTCACACGAAAGCTCAATGCCACTGGCTCATGACGTGTGATGAACTTACTGCTGCGTCGGTAGATTCTAAGTTGGATTTGAAGACATTTTCACATGATTACCTGCATTACGAGCCCATTTAAGTGGAAAATATGATTTTATTTGTCCCCGGCAAGGATTCAGTTGTCCATCAGTTTGTGATTACTGAGATATTCGGTCGTGGTAGAGAGGTAGGAGGTTGGACTTTGCGCGATGTCCGCCTTCCTTGTCGGGTTGAGGAGCGCGTGACGCTGTGAAGCCGCAGCAGGTGAGCGCGTCGTGAAGCCCCAATGACGCGCACACTCAAATCGACCGTACGAGCAGCGGTCAGCCAATAAACACGCGTCGGCGACGCTCGACCCCCCCCCCCCCCCCCATTTTCACGCGCTCGCGTAGAATCGCGCGGGATCTGGCCGTTATCACCAGCTCCGGCGGCGGCGACGGCTGGCAAAACATCCAGAATAGTCCGAGGTCGGCGTGGTGAGAGAATGAGCCAGGATGGCGGGTGCTGTTCCTGACAATAGTTCATATTTCTACTGTGGAAAGGAAGGCTTGGTTTGGCTTGCTTTTCCTCCTCCAAAGAAGCGGGACACTCGCAAGATACACATCAGCACGCATCATTCCGGTTACTTAAGGTTCGCGTGACAGACGCAAACGTTGATGCTAGTTAATTAATCCTTCGTACAATAGCGTTTAATAAGTCTTAAACATGCAGAGGTATCTTAGAGAACTTTACGAGAGCATTTGAGCACCACACCAGTGCACCTGCACATGAACGGGTCGCGCGAACCGCCCAGGTATGGACTTTGGCTAGCCTTCCGTGACATTACCGCGATAGAAGTGGTGTCAGTCGTTCGCGATAGAAAAGTGGTGTCAGTCGTTCGCGATAGAAAAGTGATGTCAGTCGTTGACTTTGACTAGCTCCATGACTCAGCGTGGGAGACGCGAGCATGGCTGGAATCCTGGCCATGAGACGCTAGCCGACATCTTACGTAATTCATTCGAGTTTTATCGCGGCATCGGACGTGATAGTTCTGTAACCTAGGCAACAGTAGAAGTCGCGATCTCTTACTACTAAGCCATTAGAAACGTTCATTAAGTAGCTGCGTAATGGAACATTGGAGCCAGAACAGAGCCAGCCCATTTAAGACGTGTGTTCATTCCGTGACACCAGCCAAGTGCAGCAGAGATTCTGGTTCCCATCAATATATCCTCAATTGTGTGGTGTGCGTTTCCATGACCATAAAATGGTGCATCCCTAGGAAAATGTGTGTGATGTTAATTGATATCTAGGGTTACCATGTTCATGGGTGTTTTAAACAGTTTGGGTGGCTTAAGTAGTAGAAGCACTGCATTAAGTCCGGATATGATAATTGAGAACCAATTTTTTGAAATTTTATCAAATGATCCGCTGAGATCTTAAATCCTCTCCAAAATATTGTTGAAAGATCTTGAGCCTGGGACATGTTTTAAACTTTTGTCGCAGGAGCTTCTAAGATCTTGGGTATTTTTTAAGTTTGCAGCAGGATCTAAGGAATTTCGCATGTTGTAATTTGTCCTGGAGGATCTATTGAGATCTTAAAGTTTCCTTCACATTTTGCCAAATAATCCTTTGGGGCCCATTCGTGCAACTGAGCAAATAATTTTAGTTGCGTATGTTTGTCAAGTTCGTGGTCAGCATGGCTGTTATAATTTGAGGGTTCGAATATTGACTTTTATCACTGACATGATGGTCATTCCACGACGGATCGACCGCGGACGGGCACTGGTTTGTGCTTTGAATGGGTACCGTGCATTTCAACACGGTACTCATTCAAATTTGAGGAAAACACATTTATGCGGTAATCATATCGCCACAATACGAATGTGCAGGTTAAGAATCATGTGTTGTACCCAATAAGGTACTAGGAGCAGACGAAATCCCGCAACGACGTCACGAATCCTACTTTTCAACTTATTCTGGTGAAACATGTTGCGGAGTGTAATGTTTTGGAAAAGTATTCTGGCAACTGAACACTTTTTTGTTAAGCATGGCCCAATGCAGCATTCAAAGTCAACAAGGTTCATAGAGTTACCTAGTTTGACCTTTCGTCTAATTCTCTGAAGGTATGATGCTCAAAAATTCATTAAAACCGATACACAATTGAAGAGTGGTCAATTGCCGTTCAGACACAAAGAAAGAAACTGGATCTCTTCTTACCCGGTCGCAAATCGACCTCAAACATCGGCGGATCCCGCATGGCGGATCACACACGGCGGATCACACACGGCGGATCACGCACGGCGGATCCCGCACGGCCGATCACGCACGGCCGATCACACACGGCGGATCACGCACGGCGGCACGCCACAAGCCGACCGACCAGTAATCGGGTGCTCGGACGCGATCGCCTCACTCCGCCGGGAACTGTGACAGCGACCTTAAAATCAAACGGGGTTCCGGAGCAATGTTTAAATGAAGCCTGTATATTTGTTGGATTTAAGTACTTGTCATCCATCCTGAGTCACGTAGATAGAAAACTAAATTGTATTTCAATGACGCAGCCGTGCAGCCGTGCAGCCATAAATCACCAGTTCCAACGTCGTCGTTTGCAGCATGCTATGCCAGTGACCACTTGCTCATCTCGATTGATATAAATGTGAAAAAAGTAAAACGAGTACCTTTAAACTCTTCGTTGTTTGCTATGCGTAGTAGGCTTTGTTCAACTAATTCGTTACAATCAATGTTCATCATTGCATTCATCTCTCACGGGATTGCCTCGGATATTCGAGCAGCCATGCTCACCGATGTAATTGTAGCCGAGATGTGCTTCTCCATGATTAATGGGGAAGGCGACTCCAGCTGCACGTTCCCTTCAGCGTTCGTACGTTTTTTTTTTTGACTTGTATCCTAAGCGTCACTCCGTTTTATGGATTTCTTCAACTCTCACATACATGTCAAGTACGCCTACGAATGGAAATGAAACGGCAAGCCCAAACTACGTTGTTACGAAACAAACCACAGGATCATTCGCATAAAGAAAGCGTGCACGCATGTTTACGGCAGATAAATCACGATTGAAGCGTACCAATTTGTTCCTGCCCGTGATGTGTTCTGCAGAGGATTTCATAAACTGCGTCCATGGTTTGCTTGCTACCTAACCAGCAATGTGGTAGGTGCAGCTGCGAAACATATCCTGTGACGTTAGGATATGATTCTTGAGCATTACAGATTTCAGGCGATTAACGGTGACGTCAGGCAATTAACGCTGCCCCGATTTCGGTGTTCGGGCCTTTCCAATGAGAGGTCGCAAGGAAGTGCAATACAAATTTAAGGCCCAAATCCTCAATATGGTGACGCATGTTGAGAAAATTGCTTTTGTTTCATATTGGGTCAGGCAGCAAAAGGTAAAGCAAAGAACTGGTTTTCTACTTGGGTGGAAACTTTTCATCATGGGTAGCACCTTTTCATGGCGGTTGTATACTGCGGCTGTTAAACAGACATAACATCAATGATCATGCAGATAGTTTGGCTGACGAGATCACTGGCCGTTTTGAAGCATGGCGCAAATAGATGTGTACTGCTAAGTCCCTACTGGCTTGAGTGTTTTTGCAACTTTGTTCGATTTGTCTCATCTCGAGCCGTTGCGATTTCCATAGTTCCCTGCAACGACAAACAACCCATTCCAGACCATGGTGTCGTTGTCAACCTGGCAAGCATACAAAACAAGGTCGAGAAATTGTGCTGAATTATTCTGTATCAAGTGTTCCACACAAACGCCACCATCAAAATTATTGTACCCGATCAACACACGCAGGCATGTGCCGGGGACGGGGAGCATGCTCATTTCGCCTGTTGAACATTTGCATGGTCAAAGCAGTAGGTTTGTTCTCACATGAATGAATAGAAATGGATCCAGTCATGGAATTTTTGCGTGTGATTGTGTCAACATGCACCTTGGAATCATGATCGCGAGAATCAGGAATCGTGAGGTCACGATCACGCGATCCGGGTTCGCTCTTCCTGTGCTGAGTTCGATCCTGCTGTTGATTCCGGGCTTTTGTCCATAGATTCCATGGCTCCGAGATACCCACTTGTTGGCCAGGTTGTATAAATATTTGAACTGGTGAATGGCTATGCCTTTTCTAGCAGGTCTATGCCGTTTATCCTCAATTTCTTCCAAACCCTTTACAGAATTCTTATCTAGAAAACTACCGAGGATTTTGCTCAAGCTCCTCTTTGTTGCTTTGTGCTTCAGTTCAAATGGCTCTGCAAATTTATTCAGTTTAGCAGGAAAATTCTGAACATTTGTAACAACTTAGCAAGCAAACAAATATTGTTTGTGACGATTGCGAATGGTTCGAACCGCACTCACCACAACATTGCCTCGCCATATGAACAATCTTTCTGTTCTTCGGCATATTTCAAATGGTCATTTTTATTGAGCATTCCCTAGAGCCACCTCTTAAAAGCGGCTGAACTGTAGGTATTTGTATTGCCGACTCCCGGCAACGCGGCTCTTCATACTTTGGCCCTTGTTTGGGTCCCGGCCTGGCTTACCCGGAGCCGGCGTCGAATTAGATGCGTGCCGTGTCGAATTCGACGTGTGCGGTTCCAGCCGTGCTGGGCCAGCACCCAAAACGGCCTTACTCCGGCTCAATGCTAGATTGGCAAATAACGAAGTAAATTCAGACCAGTAGTTTGCTTCTTCTCGTGCTGAGCTTCAGCCCGACTTTATACAAGAGTTATCGATGCGCTACGAGGACTCGGAGCACACAGCCTTGCCATCTGCGCGACTCGCGGAGGACGACATGTGTGTAAGGTCGATTCACACGCACCTTTCGTCCAGGTATTGTAGAGTTTCGGGAGAATGTGTCAGTGGCTGGGTCTAAAACTGAAATGGACGATTTTGAGTCCACGG